TCAGCCAAATTAAATATGGTTTACATTAGTAATAGCCTGTATGCTAAGAGGTATGAAAGCACCCATTAAGGGCCTGAACGATTATGCTAATATAACTCAGACACAGTTTACATTTAGTGCTGTACAATAGATCTACCTGTAAACAAGAATAGTTTATGGGATAGTTTCAGAGTAGTTTAAGATAAGCCCATGTCCACCAGCAATCTGACCAGAATTGAAGAAGCTTGGATAAGCTGCGAAATGGTTTTGACCAAAAACTTGTGTCCAGTTGACAGAATTTCTCTTGCTATTTGTTACTCTCTTTCATGCACTAAAATCAGTGTTAATCACTGCCATGATTATTAGCTCAGTGTCACCAATAGACTGGAAGGAAGGACAAACTGGTAACATTAGATATAGGCTTGAAGAATTAACTGTTATGTAACTGTATTATATTATATCATTATATTAATTAAATAATTTCATGCTGATCAAGTATAGGGTATGTAATGAGTATCTGAGATATGAGCTCACCTCTGAATAGTCTAGATCACAGGTGTCAAACATAAGGCCTGGGGGCCGGATCCGGCCCTCCAAGACCTTTAATCTGGCCCTCGGCTGATTTTCTACTAAAATATTTTAATTATATTTTCTATTAAAATATTGGTAATTTTCTGCGTTGCTTAGCGTAGCAGCGTCTCCAGCGCCTCTGTGCATGGCCCCTCCCACCAGAGCAGAACAAATGAAGACTTATCTCTTTCCAAACACTCTTAAAGGATGATTGTTTTGACTGTTGATCGTGACACCCTCATCAGCAAAATGTCAAAAATGAGAAAAGTGGAGCCGAGTGCAGGATTTTACAAGAAAAATTGACTTATTCCTATTTGCATACAAGTTATTGTTAAAATGTTGTGTTGAAATTGCATTTTTCTTAAAGTTTCGGGTTGTTCATGATATTATAATATTTTGTAAAAGAAAGAGTTCATCAATTAAAAAAGATTTCTGTAATAGATTTGTGTTTCTATGCACAAATATTTGAACTTATTGCTATTTTTGGGGTATATATGTCATGAGTTTTCTGATCAAAGTAGGTTGGATACGGCCCCCGGACCAAAATGAGTTTGACACCCCTGGTCTTGATGGTCCAAGCCTGATATTCAATATGGTCTATGTTCACAAAAACAAAGTGTGCAACTGTTGCAACGTGTATGTCTTACTATCACCTTTGTACTGAGGATAATTTAAGAGCAGGGGATTTAGCATAATATGGATTCATATTTTTTTTGTTGTTGTTCAATTTGCAGATAACCAGCCAAATTACTGTAAGTAGTTAAATTTTATATTAATTCAACAATTTCATGCAAAATACGTTTCAAATATTAGTATTAGAGTATTTGTCTATTTATTTAAAATTATAAAATTGTATTTAAAAAAACATTTATTAAAGAAACCATTCGACCAACAAATTCATAAACACATTTGAATGCTCATGAACTGTTGTTTATTTGAATAAGTTTGCAGTGGCACCTTTAGCGCCTCCTGGAGGTGCAGCAACGGCGCACATGGGTCATGGTTTGGTGTAGATGAGCCATGCCACCGTCAAACCTTTTCTTCATGGCTGACAAGAAGGAGGAGTGAAGATGCAGAGGACTGTGAGTCCTGTTCTGGAACTTCTTCAGCTGTGTTTACCACAGGAGCAGATGTGGAGGTCTTCAGAGTTACTGCCACCAGATCATGGGCACCTTGGACATACTCACTGTCACTGTAGATCAAGTGCTCCATTGTTATGAAGGGATGCGTCAGCGCTTGGCCGACAGTCAGCCTCTTCTCTGGGTCAATCTGGAGAAGATTTTTAACAAAATCAAAGAAAATCTCCAGGTCCAAGATGGCATCTTCATCCTTGTTATCAGTCTGCAGCATTATAGTTTCCTCCAGATCTGAAAACTGGACCAGTTCACACTCTGAGACCTCAGGCTTTTTCCAGTTTGAGGCCTGGTATTCAATTGGGCTCTTGAATCTCCACTGGCAGCTTGTCTGGAGAAATATTTATCAGCATAGATGCTTCTCTGCAGCATCTCATCGCTGGGTTGTCCAAGGAGATGGATGATGGTCCTTAGATGGTAGCTCATGTGGTAGCTCACACGAGAAGTGTTATTATTGACAATATTCAATAATGTATATTCACCAGATGAGGTGAATATTTGACAATATTCACCTCATCCGGGTCAATGTTGCCCCGATGCTGGATGATGTCCAGCTCCACTTGCATCGCATAACCATTTTCAAACAGTTTCACTGCCACCACTTCTTTGGTCTTGGTGTTGAAGCATTTGACCACTTGTTCATAACTCCTTCTCCAAGAAACTCCTGAATGGTGTATTTCCCCAGTGTGAGCGGGTTGTAAACTTTTGTAATTATTAAAGAATAAAAATATAAACAGCAATGGGAAATAGACCTGGCTAAAATAGATCTAGGTTCAAGACACAAATACCTACTTTTATAAACACAAAGGTTTCCCCTGGTAAAGCAGTTATATTGTACATCTTAACATGCTGTGTGTGATTATCCATCCTTTAACTTGCTGGTTCAAATATTGATTTAATTTTGTGAAACTTGTGTAATTTCTCATAAAAATTAGGCAAGTTCTTATTGGACTCGGAAGTGAGGACTGCACTACTGACAGGAGACAACCAATTATATAGTGCACATAGAAACTTTTTTATTTACAATTTCCTTTAAGTTTGTACAATACATTAAATCTTTCCACTTTTATGTCTTTTCATTTATGATGTTGTAGAATGTCTAGATATAAAACAAACTGAAGACCACAATAACCAATTTGCACAGATTCAAAGTTTGGTCCAGCACATAGCACAGATTATTCAAATGACTGTTTCGTTTACATGCACCACATTGTTTAGACATTGCATACCACAAAATGTTCCATAGGGCAGACAATAAGATCCTTTTTTGGGAACATGTGAAAGTTCATGTAATTTCTAAAAAATAACTGTGAATTATGTTCTGGGGAATCTTCCTTTACCACTTATTTTGATAGTTATGTAGGCCTATTCCACTGTTATAGCACCTATAAGGTCTGGTATACCCTGAGGTCTGTCAGTAATGTTCTTTATTACATTTGCAGTCATTGTTGTGTTTAAGTATGACTGAGTGAACCAATGGCACAATGGCATACACATACACATGACAGCACATCACACCAATACATCCTCACATCACACAAGAGTGGAGGGGCTTCACAAAGTGTAAGAATCCATTTATTTTGAAGACAATGCCCATGTAACTCTTTTTAGCATGTCATATATTCTCTTTTCCTCTTCTTTATTCAGAGACATTTGGTTTTGTATAGACTTGATCCAGTCACATGGCCACAAAACGTGCTTGGATTTCTATATCATTATAGTCACAGTAAAAAGGCAACAACATAATCAAAGATCACTTAACAGAGGATGGAACGGAAAAAGACAGTACATTAAAACATGTTATAAAGTAATCCGAACACACTAATGCCTAATACTTACTACCGTGTAATTAATTACATGTACTGGTATAGGTACTGCAAAATAAAGTGTAGCCAACATTACAATTTCAGAATCACACATTAAATTATATAAAAAAAAATGTAACATGTGCCATAATTCCTCAAACTAGTTTCATTCTCATTTTCCTCCTAGTCACTTTTGAAAAAGTGTTTCCACTTCCAGTGTTTCATCATGTGTAAGATATGAGTACTACATCATCATGTGGTTTTTCTCAAGTAATTCAGTGGAAGTCGAAGGTCTTCAGTGCAGTAATGCTTTAAGTGGTGAAGCTGTTCTCTGGTCATGCTCCATCAGACCTATAGAGTCCATTTTCACTTAAAGTGATGGTCTAACTCTCCATCAAACTGAACCATGTCAGGCTTATAAGCCTCTCACTGTCGAAGTCACATCTTATTTTTTCAGAAGCACAATAAAACTATTGTTTGTTGGTTATTATTGGACCATTGAACCTTTTGGAGAATATATAGTGGTTATGCTATTTGATTATACAGAACTTTAAAAGTGCACAAATGTGTTAGCAGTTTTCTTTGTATAAATTATTTTATATATTATATCTTATGTGCAGATGTGACTATTTTTCATATAATGATGGATTTGTTTTAAATATAAAACATTGATTGTTATACTACAGTGTAGAAAATGACTCAAAGTCAAAAGGTTGAGTGACATATGTCAAATGGACAAAGACAGAGCAGACAGCTGGACAGTGCTACAAAGGGACACACATTCAATAGCCTACTTCACACAAACATAACTCTGCTTTGGGTAAGTGTAAACATGTTCAAATCACAATCTTCAGTCAGAAGTAAAAGTCCAACCAATGACACTTATATTCCCACAAAAAAAAACAGTATTTTCATCATGTCGTTTAAATCTTATTTCAGTAATTTCTATGCCTAGAAAAACCAAAGTATCTCCACAAAGTGCAAGACAAAGAGAAAGTGCATGGGTCCTGCCATATGAAACCACACAATAACCATGCAATCACACAGCACACCTTCCAAAGACGTAGAATACAGTGTATACAGCTAAATGTTAGTCAAAGCAAACCTCAAGGCCCTCACTGAAGCTACAGACAGCAGAGTGGGTCTGGTCTGGCATAAAGAGGGGCTATGTTCACTAGTTATACAATCTCACATTATTTGGCTCACTAACAAAAAGTCTAAATTTGGTCCTCCTTGGCAATAATGTTTTGTGTTAGAACTTGTTATGCAATAAATGGACGACCTACCAAGATGGGAAGAAGAAACCACAATTTATGCAACAAGTAGTGATGGTATTTTACTATGTTTTGAACAGTTTTGAATTAGTACAACTAAATAAATGAGCATAAATGCATACAACGTTGAATGTTTTCAGTCACTGCTAATCCCCCTGTGATAATCCCTCTACAGAAAATGTGTTTTTGCTTGTGAATTTTGGGAATATATAAGAGCAAAAATATCCCTTTTATTGAATTCACTGCGTGGGGGAGCAGTCATCTAAATCCAGCAGCTCTCGGACCAGTCTCTCTCCAAACTGCGCTCGACTGTACCGTTTGGCGGAGTAGGCGTCGGACATCTTGTAGAGGATGTATGCGTTATTGATGGCGATGCTGATGCTGAGCCAGAACACCTGCTGCCATGTTTTATTAGGCTTATGGAAGATGAAGTATCTGAGGGGAGAAAATCTATTAGTTTTTCACATGGAAAACTGCATCAAACCTTGTTATAAGAATTACATCAGGCATAGAATTTAGTCACACTTTATAATAACTACAAAAAAATTGATTCCTGGAGTTATGTTTTGTTTCATTCAGGCATGTTTGAATAACCCTTTACAACATCTTCAAAGCTCAAAGTGCTATGTTCACAGATCAGAAAATACTGTAAAATGAGCCCTGCAGATGCCACATAAAAATGGAAATCTCTCTTTATTTGTGAAGGCATCAGGTTTTGATATACCATTATTTATGAGAAATCAGAAAGACATGTTGGGGTACATACTTGCTGTACTTGTCGTCATATTTGCAGATGTAGCTGAGGTGAGCTGCAAACGCTTCTACAGCGAGCGGACACGGGATCTCCCCACTTTTTCTCTTGATGATCATTCCTGTTAAAAAACAGTAGAAACACACACTCCTCAATGCTTTGGAGTTATTTTAATGAGACAACAAAAAACAGTTCCAGTGCAGTTAAGCTGAAAAAACTTGATTTTTTTTCTAATGCTGTAAAAGACAAGGGTTGTTAAAAGTATCAAAAATCAAATCAGTACTAAACTAATATCGCAACTAGATACTCATTTAAGCAAGTATCAGTACTAAAAAAGTCACAATCAGGCAGAAACAAACCGTTCCATAGCTTTAGAATGATCTTGAGCAACAATAAGAGCACATAGACTGCAATACACCTACAGACCAATAGAACCTACCTGAACAATTACACAGATATCAGGCCACACAGTAAGATAAAATAAAGTACTACAATTTAATGTTGTATCTAAATAAAGATTGTTTATTATTAGCATTGCACTATCAGAATCAGTATTGAGTCTATTCCTTACTATCGAAATCTAGTTTTTAACATTTTAAATATATTTAAATAAAAGTAATTCAGTATCATGACAACACTGTAAAGCCACCATTCTAGTTCATTCTAAAGGTTAGCACCACCATAATTTCCATTCCCCGTCACTCTGACAACTAATCAGATTCTGAAGAACAATATAGATTTGTATAATGACACACTTAGTGAGATATTCATTTAGTTCTATTGAGATTGACAAATATTTTATCCCCTTGTTAAGAAAGACAGATCAGCTCTCTCATAGACTCATAAAAAAGACAGAAAATCAATGAGAGATAATGATGTCTGTACTGAACTGATCCTCTCTTAGCTTCAAACACACTGCACGATAAACTGAACAAAATGTGGGGTGGATTATGGCTGAGACAGTAGTGTAAAATCCACTGGAGACCAGGTTTTCACAGATCAACTTCCTTGGATTTTTCAGAAAAAGCTGTTTAATGAACCAAACTATATAAACCACTGTCTAAACCCTAGTGCAGTGGACATGTAGTCAGGGTATGAACATTCTATTTGAACAATATAGTGCAAACTGTGGTTTAACTAATTCAACCTGAATGAACTGAAATGCCTTGCCTATAAACCGTAGTATGGCATTAAACTTGTCTTTGCATGAAGACAAGCTGGTGACACTAACAGGCCTACTTACAGGTCAGATGTGTGGAGAGGTGACCCTATTTCAAGTAAAAATGCCAGATGTTTTGTTTTTTGTTTTTTTTTGTTTTTTTTGCAATAAAAATGCCTGAAACTAAATAAATGCAAGATAGATAGGTTTAATGGCACACTCTGGAACATTCCACACAAAGTACTAGGATACTAGCATCTTCATGGAGATAAGCAGATGGCAGAAAAGTTACATAATGTTTATTTAAATCCATGATTTACGCTCATATAGCACTGTTACTATCGGTAAATGGATGTGTAAAGGCTTTCTACTACAAAGCTGTGTACCTTGTTTAGTAGGCGAGTAGGCATTAGTGAGGAATCTGAAGTGTCCTTTGTTATACCAGCTGATCAGAGACATGCCCCCCTTCATCATGACCCGGGACTGTCCGCGCTGGGGACTGGTAGAGGTACAGACCAGCATGCTCTGGGGCAGGCCTGTACAGTCACTCTTCCTGGTGCTCAGAAGTCCACAGCAAAATATATCTACAGATAAGAGAAAACATACAGTGTCATCCACTATACTGTGTAGAAATGTATGGTTAAAGGGCCCATATTATGCAATTTTCTGATGTATATTATAATGTCTCCTCATCAAAAAGCATGCCTCGAGTTGTGTTTTGTTATGTTTAATACACAAACCTTTCATATTTACTTAGTTCTTCTCTGAAACAGAAAACACCCTGTTCCACCTTGTCATGTCATGTGGTAATACAGGAATTGCTCCACTGTGCTTTTAAACTCCATACACCTTCTCTAGAATTATTTGGACGATTTCAGCCTATGAATTGACGATTATTACTAAACTAAAAGTAAAATGTAGCTGTTAACTTGAAAACTAACACTTCAAGACATCACAAGGTAGAACAGAGCATTATGAGTTTTGGAAATGTAGACTGACTAATAATAAAGAGTTACTCAAGCATGTGTGAATGAAACAAAACACAACTCCAGGTATGTTTTTGAGGAGGTAACAACATTATAAAAGCTCTAGCATAATATTTAGCATAACATAGGAGGTGGGTAAATATGCGGTGTTAATGTGCATTGACCAGTCTAAGGATAATTCACTGTTTTGGAGAGAAATAACTAAAAAGAATATGTATTGAACCATATTAAAGAATGGGCCTTTATAAATAAAACTGCCTTGCCTTGTCTTATCATGAAGTTGCCATTTTAATCTTGCAGCTAATGAGGCTTTTGTTATTTAAAAATGCCAACTCTTTTTGCCTCAATTGAAAAATAATGAACAAGCACAGTTGGTTGGTTCCTGCTGACAGAGAAATCATTAAATTTTTCACCATTGTTTGCCAACCTATTTGTGTGTTGTGTGTGTGTGTGTTCTTTCAGAAGATATAACTAGAAGAAGACGGAATTTTAAAGATCCTACATTATGCAAAATTGAATGTTATTGAATGTTGTTATGTCCTCAAAACATACCAGGAGTTGTGTTTTCTTTCATTAACTCATGTTTGAGTAACTTTTTATTAGCCTGTCTACATCTCCAAAGCTCAAAATGCTCTTTGTGATGTCATGTAGTGGAAGTTAACTGTTACTTTTTACCTTTTGTTCAGTAGAGACCGACAATTCCAGGGTTGAAAATATCCAAATAATTCTACTGAAGGTGTATGGAGTTTGAACACTTTGTTTTCTGTCTGAGAGAAGAACTCAGCCTAAATATGCAGGGTTTGCGTGCTAAACATGTGTGAATGATATAAAACAAAACTCCAGGTACATTTTTGATGAGAAAAAAACATTATAATATAGATTAGAAAATAATCTAATACAGTCATTTTAATGTGATTCATGGAGACTTTGGGGCAACTGAAATCTTTGTGAGATGACATAATATTTTATAACAGGTGAAAATATGAAAACAAAAAGAATTTAATCTTCTTTTGAGCTCAAATTTATGTGTCATTATGCAAGAAAAGCAGGGAGCATGACTACTGAACAATTACTTGCACAATCTCCTTTTTCTGTGTTCTTTGCTGACTGCAGGTAAAACAATCCTGTTTCATTTGTGGCAGTGATTTCTATCAATGCACCAAACAGATTTTCTTTGTGAGTGGAGAGCAGGGCAATTAACGTTTATAATTAATCTGAATGACAAATCTGAAACAAAACATTGTGTTCACCAGCTGTATTCATCTGCATGTCCCCAGGCTTTGACAAGAGATTAAATATTAACTCTGCATTCAAACTTTCTCTGCACAGTGAATGTTGTCTTTTCAAGGCTAAATATTTATATTTACAATTCTTTAGGCCATTTTCACCCGAGACCCTTTACTGTTATATAAGGATGGCTGTGGAAATTCCTTTAGTAGACATATTGTGCAAACTCAACAACTTTTAATGAGGTTCTGACCTTGAAAAAAAAAAAAAAAAAAACGCTGAATGAGATGGTCTGTCCAAACTTTTTACTGCTAGTGTATGTTTTTAGGTGGAGGATCCAAAACATTCTTTTCTCCATGGACATGTTGTTTTGCCTGGAATGACATTAAACTTGGCAACCCCTAGGCAAGAAGGTGACTTATTGTACAACATAAGCTTTTATGAGGTTTTAACCTTGATATAAAAGCGTTCTCTCATTTTTTTGTGTGAATAATGCATGTTTGTGTATACTGTTCTATATTCAAGGCTTGAGAACTTAAAAATTCATGTTCTCACCCACCTACCCCATCCCAGTCCATACTCCTGTACTTACTGTAGTTTTGATTATTAAAAAAGTAAAAAAAAAACGTCAAGATATAAGAGTCGCTCACTGTCCTTACATGTAAATAGTCCATATGGTTTGATGTAAAATGTATGAAGAATGCAAAAGAAAGCTCATCATGTTAAATTAGAATACAGTGGAGGGATTAAGTTAAAGTTTTTCTTCTATCCACTCCTTTTTGGGCATTTTTTGGATCTTGTTTCTGTTGATACGACCGTACTGATATCAATATGGATGCTATTATGTAAGAACATAAAATGCACTAGCCCAAAATGAATGCATAAATAAATAAATAAAATAAAAATTAAAAATAAAAAAAAAAAAGACTCCCAAGTTCTAAAATGTCATGTAGCCATTTTCCAGCAATAAACATGCATAAATTACAAGCTGCTTGCTACAGTGAAATACCAAAATTAATAGGTGATTCAGCAGTTTTGAACAGGAAGTCAATGGACCCATTTCTGTTACTAAGCGTTTTAGATCAATATTGTGTTTTACAATGAACAAAATGTAATACAGTGATACAATAATCTGCTTTACTCTAGATTATAGTTCAATATAAGAGCATGAATTTTTTTATATCATAATATATCTTTGTAATGTAGACTACAAAAAGACAAAACACTTATCCAAAGATATCCAAATTTTCTTTCTCCTGCAACCAAACTTAAAAATTATAACCATTGCAAATGAATTCAGAAGTAAATCATCAACAGATTTTTATGATATTGATATGAATATAGTTAAAATATAGTTAATGGCATTATTAAACCCTTGACATATATTTTTAATCTATCATTTCTAAAGGGATCATTCCCAGACAATTGCAAAAGTAATTCCACTCTACAAAAATGGAGAAAGACATGTGCTCACTAATTATAGTCCAGTGTCTTTACTCTCTCAATTTTCAAAAATTCTTGAAAAATTATACAATAATAGATTGGAATAATTTTTAGATTAACATGAAATAATGAATGAGAGTCATTATGGGTTCAGAAGTAAAAGTTCAACAACAATGGCACTTATGGACACCGTGGAGGAGATAACTAATGCACTAGATAACAAAAAGTATGTTGTGGGGGTTTTCATTGATCTAAAGAAAGCTTTTGACACTCTAAACCATTCAATACTACTCAAAAAACATACACTGTATGGCATAAGGGGCACTGCACTAAACTGTATTGATAGATATCTGACAGGAAGACAACAGATTGTGAAAATTAATGGATACACTTCAAGATTTAGGAGTACTGCTTGTGGAGTGCCACAAGGCTCGATTTTGGGACCTAAATGATTTAATTTGTACATAAATGACATATTTAAAACATCTGACATTAAAAATGATTTTATTTGCAGATGACACTAATATATTTTATTCCAGTGACAATTATAAACAACTAATTACAAATATGAATATGGAGTAAAATCAAATAATGGATGGATTCTAATAAGTTATCCCTAAATTTAAACAAGACAAAAGTTGTATATTTTGGTAATTATAAAAGAAATTCAGACTTTTCAGTCAATCTGGGGCAGCAGTCTAATGGATGGATGGACATACATACACATCTGTCTTTTCTGTTGTTTACAGTGTATACGTAGTATACACGTTTTTTTGTTTCTCTCTCGGCACAAACTCGAAATAAAAACAAATCAAATCAAAATCAAATCAAACTATATAAAGATCTGGTCTAGTAGTTAGTTCCTATTGAATTTATTTATTTTTATTTATTATACATAACAAAAACAAACATTAACAAAAAAAACCCAAAAACAACCCAACCCCCTCATTTCCTAATTTCTTCCTTGAGTTTCTTAGCTTGAGTGTGATTCTTGTTAGTGGCATACCTTGTTTGCTGAATTCAGTGAAGAGGCTGAGGTTGGTGATGGATGGTCCGGTGAAGATGATAGTGTTCTTTCCAGAGATGTTTTGGCAGAGCTGTTTGGCCACCAGGCTGTGGAGCTGAGGCTTGTTCTTCAGAGCGGACAAAGCATCTGTGCCCTGTCCCTCCTTCAAGTGCACAGAGATCTGCAGCACACAATAAAAAGGACACATTATCATATATATATTTAAAGGGCCCATATTAGGCTATTTTCGGATTTAACACAACTTCAGGAATGTTTTTGATGAGAAAACAACATTACAACATAGCATAAAACTCACAAGAGTCCATTTTGCGTTATATAGGACCTTAATGTTGAGGTGTCAGGATTCTATTTCAGTTTCAGCATAACCATAATTATAAGAGCAGGTTATAGACTTTTTTGTTTTGTAACTCTACACCCATAATTTGCTGGTAGCACGTCTGTGACGATGACGGCTAATCAGCATTTCAGCATTCCTGGAGCCCTAATGCAATTTTTCTGTTGTCCTCCATTTAAAGGAGCACTATGTACATTTTTAGTTGGAGGATCCAAACCCTTTTTTCTCCTTGGAGATGTTGTTTTGCCTGGAATGTTCCAGAGAATGGAATTAAACTTGGAAATCTCTAGACAAGCAGATAATGCCACCCAACTAAGTATTCCCTGGCAATAAAAATACATGTAACTACCATACCATACCGTGCGTTTTCATAATGATGTTAATGGTTTACCAGACACTCATCCCGAAAATGTACGTAGTGTACCTTTAAGGACAAATGCTTGTCTTTCTTTTAGGAAATGAAAATCAAGACTTGATTGATATTAATGCAAGGCATATTAAATACATAATAATGAATAACAAGCAAATAGATTCATGAATGTTAATTAATTTAGCATTTTAAGTTTTAAATTGAATTGTTAAGCACTTTTATTTCCAAGCAGTAGGAGAAAATTAATATCCTTTTGTTTACTACTGTGCCGACTTCGCATTAACTGACTGCACTACAAGCCCATAACCATTAGAAATGTGCAAACACTGTTGGTGAGTGTATGTCCCTGGTGCCTCTCCAATAACCTGAATGGTATTAGCTTGATTAGCCTGGCTCTACGTCAGGCTAGTGGCTATTAGACTAAAAGGCTAGTCCACCCGTGTGTGTGTGTGTGTGTGTGACTACAATGCCTAATGGAATCCCATTGATTCACTCCATTAACTCGACTTATTTCTTGAATTTTTTCTTTTTCTCCCTTGATACAATTCATTTGTAGTGATAAGATGAGAGAGCAGAGACACACAGACTGATAAAAAGAGAGAGTTGTTGTCAAATGGCACAGTCAAAAGGAAGGATGATGCTTAAATGGAACCTTTTAGCCCAAATTCCCAAACTGAAAGCCAGCCTTAAATTCATGAGATGTCTAGACTGCTCATGTCCTTAATATGTGCTTGTTTATTCTATTTTGGAATTATACAAAATTAAAACAAAAAAGACAGGCTTGGTACAGCTGGAATAAATAAAACTGTGAAGAGTGTGTAACATTTCCATTCTCGACTGACTTGTGTACCGATAAGTCATAATCTGAGAGTCATCTGTGGGTTTTTGTACCTTTTTTTTTGCATTATGGTAATTTTCAAGCAGTTTTCTGTATTTTAGCCAATCAAATGATAATATATTGCTCCCTTTATTGTTGGCAGGTCTTTGATTCGGCAAAAATAAGAGATACCTGGGACATATCTTGTCAAGTGGGAAAAATCACTGGTTTTGAATAAATCTACTGAGACAGGTTACACAAGGCTCAAAATGAGAACATCCGGGCACTCTAAAACATGTCAATACTTTTAAATGCATATCTCGTTTCTATACTAACCAAACTTTTAGCCTTGTTGCTGGCACACAACTCTACCACAGCATGGGAAAAACCAAAGCGTTTTCAGTGCTTTGATGCAGCATGTGTGTAGGCGGTTCGATGAAAACCCTGCGCAAATTTCTCTCTCCTGTGGCAATACATTTTTAGATATTTTTTGGCTTTAAAGGGTCCGTATTAAGCAAAATAGACTCTTGTGAACTTTAAGCCATGTTGTAATGTTACCTCATCAAAAACATACCTGGAGCTGTGTTTTGTTTCATTCATGTTTGAGTCACCCTTTATTATTATTATTATTTATTTTTGTCTACATCTCCAAAGTTCAAAAAGTTCTGTTCCACCTTGTGATGTCATGAATACCATTTATCTTTTGATTAGTAGAAATTGTCAATTCAATATGCAGGGTTTGTGTGATAAATATGTCCGAATGAAACAAAACACAGCTCCAGGCATGCTTTTGATGAGGAAACAACATTATAACATAGATCAGAAAATAGTGTAATACAGGCCCTTTAAAATTCTGGAGAAATCAGCTCAAACGGACAGTAGTACTAGTTAAACTGTAGCCTCAAGGGCATGTCATTGGTGAAGGCTATGGAATAAGAAGTGCAGGAAAGGTGGTCTATGAGTTATGGACTGCTGTGTCTCTCTCACTAATGACCTCTGTAATGGTGCGTGCTGGACAGGTCTGGCACTAGCCTTAAGTTAAATGGGTGTGTTATGTAAGTAAATGGCGTAAAAGAGCAGGGTTGTTCTAAGGGCAAAGCTGTTAGTGAGAGTCTCTGTGGAATAAATGTAGGGTTGGGTAAATTAATCACAATTTTCTTAATACAATGGTTGATTTGATTTGTCTTATTTAAAAGGACAAATTAACAGAAAGAGGCACGGTCTGTTCATGTCAAAACAAACATGGCAGGGGAAAAACACTACTGAAGATTGAGAAACAACATTGATTTCTGCAGACAACTGAAGCACTAAACTCTTATTTATTTAAAAGGTAGTTAGGTTAAAGAAGTTTTATATTTAGTTCTGAATGAGAGGATGTGCTTGACAAATACATTTGAGAAACACATACAAGTTAGTTAGTTAGCATCTGTGGTTGAACATTAGGATGGAAATTTTTCTTGCCCTGTAGTCCGGTTCCAAATACTTCTGCATTCAAACAAAACGTAGAAGGGACTGGGTGGTCAAATGTGTTCAACTGAAGCTTAAAAACTAGTATTTTTGTTAGAATACTGGTAGAGGATTCACATAAAATTCTTCCTAATCTTTTAACCTATTTTCTCACTAGCGCATAAAGAAAGTGTGATAGTATAATCCTTAATTTGTCCAAGTATAAAGTATATTTTTATGTCTTTGTGGTTGAGTAGGTACCTGACAAATGAAGCCGGTGGAGGTGCACTGTCTAACCCACAGACTGAACTTCCTCTTCTTTCTCTTCCTCAGCTCTCGCTCGGTGCAGGTGGTGATGAATACTGGGTCCTCGTCTATTAAAGGCTCATGGAGAACCTGCAAAAATCAGCCAACAAAGAAAACAATGAAGTCCCAGCAAGTACAAGTATGATGTAACGTGAAGGCGCCAGGGACACACAATCAACACTTGTGCAACTTGGAAACACTGTGATCTGCCAAATTTTGTTGAGTGAAGAAAAGCAATTTCTTCTCGAATATTGGATTTTAGGCTTGTTGGTTGGCCATAGGGCTGGGCGATATGGATCAAAAAATATATCTCGATATATTTTGCTATATCTCGATATATGTTCAAGAAAAAATAACCCCCTAAATTTGAAAACTGCAAAAACAAATCTGCCAATCTTTTTTTTAAATTAAAGTGTCAGAGGTCGGCAGTTCATATAGGAACATTTAAGATTACAAAAAAACCTAATTACATAAATAATAATTTAACTGTAAAATAAAAGAAATAATACATATTTCCTTCTTTTCATTCATAAATAAAACAACTCAACACAAGCTCATCTTTGCATTAACTCTGTTATCCAGACCATAACCATGAGTTCATTTAGCAGAAGAAGCTCAGGATGTTCCTTATTTCAATAGATCCATGTTCCTATCCAGCAGTAAGGAGCTCTGAGGTTTAATCCCACAATCCACTGCAGATCAAACCCAACGTTTCCAAACACTATTGTACAAGTGACACTGAAGCAGATTATGAATAAAAATATTCTGCATAAATAAACTATACATGACTAAACTTTACAATATATAAAGTATAATGACTATAGAGCCACATCAGCTCGTTTGCGATAATAATGTGTTTAATGCAGTTTTGCGCACGTGTGTTTACATTTTACAGAAACGAAACTTAAGCGCATGGCTCATTTGCATAAACAGCGGACTTCTCACGCAGCTCAGCTCGTTTAGCTTCTTTCGGGCTAAAGGACGAGACTCGGTGGAACATGAGGATGTGCTGCTGATGGTTTTGTCTATAAATGGTGGAAAAGGTTCGTGGTGCTTGAAGTTTTTCACTGGCACCAACTTTCGGCGTTCACGGCGGTAGTGACGAGTGAAGGAGACACGAGCGAACAAAATCAGGGAGGCGGGGGCGCGCAGAGGCGATGACAGAGAAGGTAAACAAGCGAAGCTGCGAAATCAAAATTGAATATAAGCATTATATCGATATATACGATATGTCAGAATTCATATCGAGTTTAAAAACTCTCGATATATTTAAAATATCGATATATCGCCCATCCTTAGTTGGCCACACTCTTATGTTCAAATTGTAGTCTTAAGACCTTGTATAAAGATTATAAATATATTAAAAACTTCTAGAGACAAGTTTATGACATCTTAACTTGAATCTAGTTCAAGGTGCACTGCGTAGCTTCTTGGGTGTGGGTCCGTCAACTGCTTGTTTCTATGGATATGTCATTTCTCTGCCTAGAACGTTACACAGTATGACATTAAAAAGCTCTACCTTATATTTATTCAATTACAGGTGATTTTATAGCTCAAAAATACCTAGAAAAACAGGCATTCTGACAGTGAGCAGGTTGCCTCTCCACAGATCTGACCTGTAACTTGGTCTGGTTTGGTTTACATGAAAATAGAAAGGTTTAATGCCACACTGTGAAACATTCCAGACAAAGCAATAATAATTTCTTTTACTTTCAATTCCAAGATCTATGTAGGTCAGGTTACAATAGACAGCTTAAGAGTACAATAATTATAATAATAATTTGCCAAGGAATTAAAGGTGCATTGTGTAACTTTTCTGGTGGAGGGTCCATCAAATGCTTTTTTCCATGGCATGGTAGTAAACCTTTCTATCTTCATGGAGACCAAACCAGACCAGGTTACAGGCCAGATCTGTGGAGAAGCAACCCCTTCTCATAGTCAAAATGCCTGTTTTTCTACGTATTTTTGAGTTATGAAACCCCCTGTAATTAAATAAATGTAAGGTAGAGCTGTTAATGTCATTCTGTAGAAACTTTCAGGCACGACAATGACATATCCGTAGAAACAAGCAGGTGACGGACCCTCCACAAGAAAAGTTACACAATGCGCCTTTAATTCTTTTACTGAATATAGTGCATAAATATGTTCTATAAGAAAAGCATAACAAATTAAATAAATAGTAACATTTTCAACAAAATACATGTGCATTTATTACATTGTGAAATCATGTTGTGGACTCAATATTGTGTTTGGTATCGTCTCATGAGAATTATATCTTGTTATGGCCCTGGACACATTTATAAATCTAGTGGTTTATATGTCTGGAATGTAGATTCATCCAATAAGCCACAAACATTTGCATTTCAAATATTTCCACCTCTCTGAAGTCCCCTCTGCTCTGCATCATCATTCTGGTCTGTCTCTAAATATGGCTCTATAATAGCTCTATTCATCAAAAAGAGAATGCCCTGTTTCATTTCACCATATATTCATATACAATGTTATGAGATTCAGTAAACTAGTAAATCCTGAATTACATCAACTAAATCACATCCTCTGAGCAGGAGAAAAGTTACTGTGGTCGTAGTCCTTCATTGATCTCTATTCATCTTTATAACCTTGCATGCTCCAAATTTGGCCCTCCCCAGTAAAAAAACTACATTAAAATTCAAAGAGAGAGACAGCTATGAACCACTAACACATTACAAATTTATGTAGGTGAGCCACATTTCAGCTGCGGTGTGTGTGGGCAGGACTCTCGTGCAAATTTTATAACTATTGATTTAAAACATTCAGCTGCTCATAATATGGTTCATGTATTTTATTTATCTAATCCTAAATATAATCCTCAAGGCACGATAATGAGACAGAGCACATCCTTATTGAAGGCCTCAACTTCAGATGCTTACCCAAAAATAGAGTTGCATTGCTGCCCTAGATACAAGATTGCAAGCTGAAATGGCATCTGAGGTAATGCTCTATATAAAAGCATTGTTCATGCACCATACCACTTTGAAGCCCAGGTTTTCTTGCAAGTTTTCTTCTTCTATGTATCTGGTTTGTGTGTACCTGTGCCATACCTGTGTCTGTGAGGGCCTGAAGGTGCAGCTGAACGACTGCTGCAGTGAGTCCAAGAAGGGCTGGATCTTGTACAGTCCCTGGTTACTCCCCTGAGACGGTCGGAAAGCCACGATGTGAAAGTATTTTAAGATTTTCTCGAAGCGTGACTGGCTCATCTTTAGTGCGATGCTGCGATTGCTGAAGAACCCCGAGCTCCAGATGCTCAGCACAGACTCACACCTGTGCACACTGGTGGAGATGACAAAGCCCAGGAATGCCTTCATCTCCTGGGCAGTGACTGGACGCCAGCCCTCATCCGAGCCAAACCGCTCCTGGAACTTCTTGGCGTACATATTAGTCTGGGTGACCATGTTCTGAATGCAATTGTCTGGTACAAAAAGCTGAAAGAAGTCCAAGACAGAAGCACTGTCTGGCATTTTCTGAGCAGGGCCTGTTACGGACAAAACAGAGAGACAAAGGATATATTGTGAGGGAAGTGTCTCTAAATCATAACAGGACCCACGCCTTCAACTTGACAGGTTCTAAAAAAGTTGGTGACAGTAACAAACTGGAGTTTGTTAAGCTGTCATTGTCAAGGCTGTGTGGGCTGTATACAGACTTTTGATGATAAACTAAAATAGCTTCATCACAAAATCACTCAACGCTCAACTCACTCAAGTATTGCTAGGTCTTATTCAATCAGCAGCACCACTAAGGAGCTCTGCACACATAAACTACACATTGTACAGTGTAAAGTACATTGTGTTCACAGTACTCACACTCGTGGAAGATTTTGTAGATTTTATATATATATAGACTGACTCAAAACAGGTTTTAAATCAGTTCCATATAACACAAAAATGACCCAGTTTATTAATTCAAAGTCCAAACTCTGCTTGTTCCAAACCCACACATGCCTTTACTGTCAAAGAATGTAGACTTATCGATTCAATAAACCCTAGCATATCACTGACAGTTAGACATGACTGCATTTGATCAATTGCCCATTCCTACATTGCAGCACTGTAATTTAGAAGAAATCCTGCATTTTTTTACTTAAAGGGGCCATTGTTAAAATGTTGTTTCCTCATCACAAACATACTTGGAGTCATACATGTTTAACACACAAACCCTGCATACTATATTTAGGCTGAGTTCTTCTCTCAAACAGAAAACATTCATCCACCTTGTGATGCCTAAACTCCACAGACCTTCATTAGAATCATTTAGATAATTTCAGCCCTGGAAATGCCAATCTCTACTGAACAAAAGGTAAAAGGTAGCTGTTAACATGAAAACTATTACTACATGACATCACAAGGTGGTACAGAGCATTTTGAACATACAAAACACAATTCCAAGTATGTTTTTGAGGAGGTAATTCTATTACATGGCTTAAATTAAACATTATAACATGGCTTAAAGCTCACAAAAGTCAGTTTTGTGTAATGGAGGACTTGTTTGCATGCACACATTATAGCAGCATCAGTATTCAGTATTAGTGTCAAAAGCCCAAGGCGAGTATTACAGTGTTTACACAAAGTGACAGCACACACATGTCCCCTCTCTGACATGGCATGGCATTTAAGACCGCTACGCTCTCCTGTCATGTTTACTTACAGCATGTGGTAAGGCAAAAATCAGAAGTGTAGGACAGTTAGAAGTATTTGTAAATGGATCCATCTAAACAAAGCCTAATCCTACATAGAAATAATATTTTTGAGAACAGTTTGTTCCACAGACTCTGGCACATCACTGACTTTGGCCAGTTTAAATCCAGGTTCCACACTCATCTATTCAGACTGACTTTTACCACTCAGAAATGCAGTGACACTTTGCACAATTTGTTTTATTTCATTCTTTAATGTTTTGCATATTTTTACACAGTTTTGATTTTATTGCTGATATTCAAGTCATTTGTATTGATCTTGAGCAGAGAATTCTTGATGTAACTTGATGTAACATTATTGTAAAAGCAAAAGAGAATTTTTCACTTTTCTACCTCAGTAACACTAAGAGAAATTTGTATGATTACTTAGTTTTCATCCAAGCCAAAAGCATAAGTTATGTCTTTAAGCTAAACAATAACTCATTATTTGCAGAACATGATGTACTCTATAATATTTTCCTGACTTTTGCCCAACTGCAGCACAACCAATCAAGTTCTGTCAACAATTTATGAAAAGTGTAACCAAGCGTAATATACAAATCCAATATTTATATTATAATTAATAACAGTGAAGAGCAGAGAAGGATGAGACAAGCCAAGAAGGAGAACAAAATGGCGGTAAAATGTACCCACAAAGTTAGAGCCAACTCCGACACTCATTTGCATTCCATTACATTTAAAACGCCGTGTAAAATCCAGTGTGACTTCCTCAAAGGAGACTGAGATAAAACATGACTGTCCAAACTGAAATGAGTCAGCTAAACTCAAATAGGAACTCAGGCTATAGGCTCACCATTTTATGCATAATCCTCCATACACCTTATCTTATTTAATTTACATACAGCATCATATGCATTTACTATGATGAGGTGGGCAGTTTCAAGTATTGACGTGAATTTGAATTGGATTTTAAGTGAATCTTAAAGACTTCGGTAGACTTCGCCAAACTTTATTGATCCATAAAGGAAAATATTTGGACACTGTAGCTCACACATCACTACAATAAGTGGCAAAAAAGCAAGAGACTGGAGAGTTACTAGAACACTTTTAAAGATAGTATTCTTGGATAATAACAATGGGAGCTCAAAGTAGTACCTGTTGAGCACACTTACAATGCCATCAACATAGAAGTGGTAGAAGAAAGAAGAAAGGTAATATAGTTTTTCAGCCTCTGACAAAAAAACAAATGCTAGTATTTTAAAGTATTAAAAATAAAAATAATTTTTTTTTTCAAAGTAGATATTAATGTCCAGATGGATGAATCTAACAGATCCTAGTATTAATCTACCTGGGTACTCATGTGAACTAGTGCGGTAAATCCAGTCAACATTGTGATAGTTACATAATCTGTGGTGTGGATCTATCCCGTAATCCTCAATGTTCTTAGTTTTTAACCCTAATGACGGCAATGTTGTGCTTTCTTTTTTTAAACTTTATAATTATGTTGTCTGTCAGTCTACCAATCTTAATATTTTTCCAAAGTTTTTTTCAAGGCCAATGCCGATCCAGAGCAACTGATGGCCCGTAAGCTCTGCCGATATATATTTGGGCTGAAATGTGGGTCTGATTTTTATAATTTTCCTCAAATTCTATCATTTCAATTTACTACACACTCACCCACAGACATTTTTTTTACCACAAACCTGAAAGAGAGCTGTATAATCATGTTTTCAACCATTATCTCTTTGCACTGTGGTAAAATAAAGTTTAATGTATATTTTTTAGGCAGCATATCACCCAAACACAATATAGTGCTGTGCTGGAGATTTAAGCCTGATACTTGAGACACTAAAAAGGTCAAATAAAAGGTCTATTTCTACTTCAATATAAAAAAAATGAATAAATAAATAATATAGAACTGTGTGTTGGTGAAACACTAGACACACTACAAAAAAGCTACAGATATTGTACCAGAATTACAGGACACTGTAGGTACGTAAGAGAAAAAGTACTAGCCTGACACTGGACGCTGCATTGCTCGTTCTGTTCTAGTTTGTTTGTTTGACTTGATGCAAAGTGACTGAGGCTGATGATTTATGTACGGGGAGCACAGTCTCAGAGCAGTGCAGCCATCACATCAGAGCTGACAGGAACTCAGACAAGACTGTGAAGAGCCAAAATGAACGAGAAGGTGATAAACTAGCAACAACACGAATCTCAATTTTAATATCGCAATAACATCACGCTGGGTTGTTCTACATGTCTTTAGATTGGAATGGTCAGCAGTTACCATGGTGACACATTAGCAAACACTATGAAAAGGATTTAAGATTGTCTAAAAACTCAAGAAACCACACAAAATGGATTTAAACAAATCATTGTCAGATGTCTGTGATCAATACAAGCGTGCATGTTCCTGTTTAGGAGTTTAATGTTCAACAAAAAAGTTGAGAGTGAGTAATTGAAAATCTGTTGGCTAATGCTGGCTAGCTTGTGACTGTAACTGTGAGAGATGTTGTGAGACATAACACAACAAATCATCTCACCTGTTGTAGTTCCAGCTACGTCAGATGACCTTTATGGTCAGATTGCACTAAAACAAAACTCAGACTGAAGTCTAACTTGAGTAACAGAGCTTAGAATAGTTCCTACAGTAAGCTACAAACCCTCAGGGAATGTTGATGAAATAGTCCTTATGGATCGAAGGATGCTCTAATTGCATGTACAATTCATAAGTTTAAGATTTATGGATGTTCATTTTATGTCCTATAGGAAATGTAATTACATCTTGTCTAAAAGGTCCCAGGTTCGACAACTGGGGTGGCATAGGGGCCTTTATGTGCAGAGTTTGCATGTTCTCTTCATGTCTGGGTGGTTTCCTCTGGGCACTCCGGTTTCCCCATTAGTGCGAAACATGCAAAATATGGTCAAATCCTACAACAAAGGTAGTGCTGACCAAGCCTGGCTCAAGATCTGATTGGTTTTATCCACACAAACCCTGCATATTTAGGCCCACCTTAGGCCCACCTTCTGTCCCACCTGGTGGTGTTGTGTGGGAATAAAGGAAGTGCTCCACTGTGATTTTAAACTCAATACACATTCATTAGAATCATTTGGAGCTCTGATATGAAAAAAGGGTTACTCAAACATGCATTTGTGAATGGAAGAAAACACAACTCCAGGTATGTTCTTGGTGAGGTAACAATATTCTAACATGTCTTAAAGTGCACAAGAGTATATTTTGCATAATATAGGACCTTTAAATGATGGTGCTACTAAATAATGTTGATATAATTTTAAATTATGTCAATTTTAAATGAAAACCATTACCATCAAAATAGGATGCATAGAAATTTTATGTCATGAAAACGCATTTAGTCTAAAGTCAGCAGTTATAACATGTCGTTACTGATCTTGTCTCTATGTGGGTTAAGTGGAAACATCTCCATCTCGTCACTTCTTTCCCATGCCATTACATCTGAAACATGAAGATAAGCTAATGCTTTGAAATAGAGTTTTAAGACGGATAAATGATGATTTGTGCACTAATGTGCTTCTGGTTTTAACTATCTCATCAAAGTAGAGTTGGTTCTTCTGAGCAAACATCATAAACTGTGTGAACCAAAGCAAGGACCACACCTGTGTTTGCTTGATAAATACACAAAGCAGAATGGTCTTTTCTATCACACATATCTTGTTATGTTCCTGTATAAAAGTACAAACGTGATGACGATACCCTTAAAGCTCCAATGTTAATTCCATTTTGAATAAAAGAAATTGCGAGCTACCTCTGCTGCTGCACAAAATGGGAAAGAGAAAATTGGTTTGATAATTGTGCTGGGTAAAAAGAGGAAGCCTACATTCAATATGGACAGAGATAAAGCGCTTCAGCTATGGTCTTTGTATCAGGGTAATTCTACACCATCAGTTCAACACCTCACGGCACTATCCAATGGCCACATAATCATATTTGGACTTATTATTACAAGCAGTGTATTTCTAGAATGGTAACATCTTGCGTGCAGACACCCTCGATCCTGCCAGTTCCCTTCATACAAGTTTGTTTGAGAAAACTTTTCTGGCATTATGAGGCACAGTAGGGAGAAAATTCTGTTGCGTGAAGTGTAAATCTTGAACACCTGTCAGTGTCAATGTGTGTTCATTTCTAAACATGCACATACAGTTTACAGAAAACCTACACAGGAAAAGATAAAATAATACATATCTTATTGTTCAGAACACTGCCCCAAGATCCCAGAATCTCTTCTTTATTTTTTTAGACTGTGTTAGCAGTAACAAGTAAACATTTATATATAGCACTGAATGGAAATATTTGCACGAAAATGTTTATCCAAAATTGTTAACTGTCACGTAATATAATTGATATGCACAAACAGTCCGAAGAGCATATGACAAAATGCACTGGGGTTCATATCTGCTGTGAACATATTGGAGTCCCTGTGAGGGTGAATGCTGCCACAGTGGATGCTGGATGGCAGTGCCACAGGAGGAAAAGAAACCTAATCCAAATGAGCTCCGACAGAAGGAGCCGCACTCACAGCCTGTTCTCTGACCACTGATGGCTGCAGTCTGCATATAACACCATACAAAGTGTTCAGATGCATCAACAACACCACTGTGTCAGGGAATAGGTTTGAGCTCAAATATGATCACAGATAAGTATTTGTGTGCTTGTATTGATTAGTCACGATTCACACACACTATACTTTTCACTAACCCAAATGCATAATTCTTTTGTCTTTTATGCTTCCAGTTCACTGACGTGCATAAGGACAATGTTCAGTAGCCTGTTTTGACTTGTGCCTGTAAAAATAAACAGACATGAAAAAGCATCACGCTGTTCCCTACATTACGCTCTGAAACGTGGCCAGTGCATACATGCTATTAGTACATTCACCCAGGGGGCAGGCACTGCACCAAGCGGTGAATATCAAAGCATAAGCATAATATATCAGTTAACGTTGCAGTGTCATGCCACTGTCACTCACTCTAGGACACAGGCGCGTAAAGTAAAATGCAATGTTTTATTACAGTGACATTACTCTTATGATTGGTGGGATGGTGAAGCTGCCCTAGACATAAATGGACTGCTCTATTTCTGTCTGTTCACGTTTAGTCATTCCACACACACATGGCCCACTGCTAAAGGCACAATAAATGACCTTATTCATCATAGTGTCTCACCATATGTCTCTTTGTACGGCGGCACGGTGACATCCTGCAGCTCTTCGGTCCAGCCCTCCTCTTCAGCCTGACTTTGGGACAGTGAACCTGGAGGACCACTGTGTCCACTCTCTTTCTCAGCCCGTCTCTGCGGATGCTGGTTCTGCTGGTGCGGCTGCTCCTCCTCGCCTGCCTCCGCGATGTAGTGGTCTGAGTCCGACTCGCCCGACGTGCTGTAGAAGAGGTTGTCGCTGCTGTCGTCCCCGGACTCGCCAAAAACGTCGTCGGATATCTGCAGGCTCTCGTACCGGGAGCGGGCCGCTTCCAGGAGAGACAGCGCCTTCCGCCCGCACTCCGCCATCTCTCTCCACTGATGTACTGCTCCTTATCCCTGTAGTGGTCACGGTTCGCTTTTACAACACCTCTTTCCTTGTCTTGTAATGCAGACGCGACAAGACACTAGTGGGCCAAAAACGGTGGTTCCCCACACCCCAAGGTTCAAAGCCCACCGGTCAAAACCTTATGGGGATCCAATGAGAGCTGTCCTCTCCAAGGGTACTGAATTTTTCCGCCCCCTGCCTACAGCGCTGCACATTGGGCCATATGGTGGTTGTAGTAGCATCGGCTTTTCAGGAGCAGAGAGATTTTCCTCTCTTACACAAGTAGAGAGAGGAAACAGGGAGAGTGTAGTGGCTGCGCCAGCATCACCTGACTCTGTGCTCCTGCCCTGCTGTCCAATGAGCTCCAGGGAGGAGAGGATGGTGGCTGCAGGGAGCCAACCTCGCACATGTGGTGTATTGCTGTAAAAATCAATAATGGAATAAATACAAATTTAATACGCCTGCCTGTTATTACATACTTTGTAGGTCTACATCAAATAAAAACACACTATGTCTATTCCAGTATATTTCTCACTTGTGTTACTGGTCCACCCCATTTGATCTTCGTTGTGTTCTGGGTGGTGTGGAGAAGACGACAGAGGCTCGTTTCAGGTTCAGAGGGTTTACTCTGTTTAACAAACACAAATAGCACAAACTGAGTCTGAGGGGTCCGACATGTGTCCTCTTGCAAAATATTATACACACAATAAAAATAAACTAGTTACGAAGTAAAAATTATGAAAGATTTTAATAAATTATCAAAATGGATGATTTTAAGAGTATGATTTTCATAACAGTTAATTTGTTAAAATATTGAGTGATAAAGAATACATTAATTTACGAAAGAGACAGACTATTTACAAAACACAGATTAACAAAAAAATGACAATTTTGTCTGGACCCCAAATAAGTAGATGGAGCAGTTGATCGTCGTATAATTCGAGAACCATCACTTTTATGGATCTTACAACAGGGGGCGCTGTGCTGTTCGGGGTGAAGCTTCCTGCTTCTTGTTCGTGGGCTGCTCTTGCCATGTTTGCGGAAGAAAATGATTTAGCATAAGCTGCAAACTGCTAATGCGATATTTTCTTATTCACTTTCATTTGTGGAATTTAAAATGAATCTCCCAAAAGGACCAGACTCTTTATGTTTCGATAAAGATGTTTTTATGAAGGTATGGCATTTTTTAGACCTTAAATCTTATGTACTTGAAAACTACCGGGTTGCTGGCTAAATAAATGTCACTTGACGTTTAGCTCTTCATCCCAAATAAACACTCAATAGACGAAAATAAGAACAAATGTTAATAAAAGAATAATACAGAATAACTTGGTAGACTAGACTAAGAATATAACTCAGAACTATTATATGCTCGTTGCTCTTAAATGAATAACGTGTTGTATCTGTGTAGTGTGTGCACTTGCCTAGATCAGTCAGTTATATTTTGTCTGTCTTTGTTTTTTTGCAGGATGATTTTGACGTTGACCAGTTTGTGTCAGAATGCAGGAAGCAGGTGCAACTGGAGGAGATGCGAGAGGACTTGGAGCTCTACTACAAGTTACTTAAAACTGCAATGGTGGAGCTCATAAATAAAGACTATGCAGACTTTGTCAACCTGTCCACCAATCTGGTCAGTTGTCATTTTTGCACTAACCATAGCACACTGATCTGATTGCATTCAGTAAAATTCTATGTTACATTTTATCATGAAATTTAAGCAAACCTGCTGGACTTACTCAATGTTTGCAGCCAGTGTTTCACTACCAGCCAAGTAGCTTCTTTAGGGCTTTGTATTAGTGACCGTGGCTCCCATCAGATAGAGCAGTGGAGCTAACAGGTGTCTGCCCCAGGTTGTTGGTTAGTAGGAAGTTTAGTAGTTTAGTCCAGTTGCTTTGATTCTATTTTGTGATACTATCTTATGCATGGACATCTCAAGAACTGTTTCAATTATGTTATATTTTGATATGAAAATCCTGAGCTGATGAATAGTTACTTGACTAGATTATCTTCTCCATATCAGGTTGGGATGGACAAGTCCCTCAACCAACTGTCTGTTCCTTTAGGTCAGTTGCGTGAGGAAGTGATGGTAAGTGTTGTTGAGGTGTTCAGCTCATTATGTAAATGAATACATACTTTCTTACATTATTGTTATGCATTGTTTTGCAGAGCTTGAGGTCTTGTGTGAGTGAAGTAATTCAGGCTATTGACAACCAGCTGTCAAAACGAGAAGATCTACAAAATAAAAAGGTTAGAAATATTTTAGCACAATTTTTGCATAATTCTTGAATCTTTTGTGAACATGTGTTTATCCTTTTCCTTTAGGTGTGTGTGTTAAGACTTATTCAGGTGGTGAGATCTGTAGAGAAGATTGAGAAGATCCTAAATTCACAAAATTCCAAAGAGTCAAACTCTTTGGAAAACAGCAGGTAGGACTGTGGCTTAGAACTTCTTCACTAGTGCACCTCAGATTATTTGTTCTTTTTTTTTTTTTTTTTTTGCAAAAAATTAAAGTCATAAAGTACATATAAAACAAACTAGTCCCCACTTTGAGAACATACCCTCTGACAGACTAACTTAAAGATGTTCTGTGTAACTTTTCCAGAGGAGATTACACCACCTGTTTTGTCCATTGAGATGTCATTGCTTTACCTAGAATAGTAATATCTTGAAGGAATAATATCTTCATTGTGATTAGCAGATAGCATACTCTCCTGTGATACATGATGCACCTTTTATATCTTCCATGATCATTCATATAAATTGTTTACATACACCTTGAGCACTTTTAACCTAACGTTTACAATTACAATTACAATATACAATTTAAATACTTATCTAATTACTGAGTGAATGTAAAATAACTTGCTTTCTGTATGTTTGTATGTCTGTTTTTAGTCCTTTGTTAGCAGGTCAAATCTTGGAGAGAATAGCCACAGAGTTCAACCAACTGCAGTTCCATGCTGTACAGAGCAAAGGCATGCCCCTCCTGGATAAAGTCAGACCTGTAAGTGAGTGGGGGCCAAGGAAATTAAAGTATTTTTTAAATTCATGGATGATTATTTTATAGGCTTCACTTTTATGTTGTATTTCTAAAAGACTTAGACAATTTAGACAAATTTTATTGATCCACAAGGAACATTACTAGGACTCAGTAACTCACACACATCACATTATAATAACAAAGAGAAAAAAAATATATATAATGGTAAAAATACATTCTCTAACCTAGAGAGTTGTGTCAAATAAGGCATAATTATATAAATGTATATATGTACAAGTAAAAATAATATTAAATATAAATAAGTAATACATTATCTCAGCAGTATAGAATAGATTGTAATACAGTAAAATGTTATACATCTACTATATTTTTGATATGTATAAAATGTTTGCTATATAGCGGATTGCGGGTATCACTTCAATGCTCCAGCAATCTCTGGAGGGTCTTCTGATTGAGGGACTTCAGACATCTAATTTGGACATGGTGCGTCACTGCTTAAGGACATATGCAACCATTGATAAAACCAGAGATGCAGAGACCCTGGTGGGTCAGGTGCTGGTCAAACCCTACATGGATCAGGTAAACCCACTGCTACTTATACACTGAATATAAGTTATCTTTGAAAACAAACTACTACTATTCTACTGTATGATGTTTTAGGTCATATTGGAAGACGTGGTGAAGTCTAACCCCAATGGTCTCCATGTGATGTATACTAGACTATTGGAGTTTGTGCCTCATCACTGCAGATTGCTTCGAGAGGTGACTGGAGGTACCATCTCCAGGTATTATATATTATGTATACATCGGTCACTACCATGGTTCATGTCTAGTACTCTAACATTGTGTTGATATCCAGTGACAAAGCTGATACAGTACCTGGATATGACTTCCTTGTAAATTCTGTGTGGCCTGAAATTGTCAAAGGAATCGAAGAGCGCTTGGCTTATCTCTTCAATCCTGGAAACCCTGACATATTTTATGAGGTAAATCACAGATTCAAATCTAATGACCATTTTGAAATAAATTTAACATTACATATGTTTTCATTATTTTGTCTATCTTTATATTCTTTAGCGATACAGTACAAGTATGGAGTTTGTTCGAAAATTTGAACGACAGTGCAGCTCACAAGCCAGTGTGAAGAGGCTGAGAGTTCATCCTGCTTACGTTACTTTCCAAAACAAGTGGAATCTTCCAGTCTACTTTCAGCTACGGTACACAAGATTTTCACGTGCGCTTTAATTACCCAAGGCTTCCTGCATTATAAAAAAAATCCTATTAATTCAACACTTTTATTAAGATTTTTAACAATTACAAAAACATTACCCTGTAGTTAGAATGATCATAATTATAGATCTTAAATGCTGACGTGATGAAACAAAAAACCTAAATGTGTGTCAGTACAAAAAGTCAATAACGTGAAAGTGGACCTTGCTGTCACACTTATTGATTTTTGTAAAACTGTAGAGAAGATCTATATCCACCCACACTAAGTTTATTAAATACACAAAAAACAAGTTGTTTGTTGCATCTAAAGACAGGACTGATGGAAAATTTCATAGAATGGAAAATACACTGTTGTGCATAATGACAAATAAGGATTTTTTGGGTGTCGTCCAGGTACAAGGAAGTAGCAGGAAGTCTTGAAAATTCCGTTAGTGATGGCTTGGATCCAGCACCAGGTATAAAAACGATTATATCTCAAAAGCTGTGCAAAAAGTGTAATCATTTTCTTATAGCGACTTCTGTCTGTTCACATGTAGCTGGTAGTGCCTTCAATCTAAAGGTCTCAGAGGTGTTGTGGTCCTGCCTGGTCAGGTGTTGGTCTGACAAGATCTACCTGTCGCCTCTGGCTCATCGCTTCTGGAAGCTCACTCTGCAGCTTTACTCACGATATGCAAAGTTCCTTGAAGAGGTTAGAAATAATAAAATCTGAAATAAACATATAATGTCTTAAGGTTACATTCTACTATATATACAAAATATGTTTATTATTTATTGTCTTTGCACTATCTACACACTTCAAAGGATGTATGTTAACACATGTATATTATTTACAGTCTATGTATGTACTTTTTAGTATGTTAAAATTATCAGTGCAATCTGTTTCTCAAGGTTTTGACTAAACCCTCAGTCCCAGAGGTGCCCAAAGAGCCAGCCAGGCCTTTACCAAGCTCAGCCTCCTCCACCTCCAGCCGCACCTCTCTAGAAGATGGGGGCAGTGAGAGTGGTAGTCCTACGTCCTTGTCCACTAAGCAGCTCGTCTATATTGCAGCTGATGTTCAAAAGCTGCAAGAGCAGGTGTGTTTAATTAATATATTTTTATTATATAAGTAATACAGCCAGTAATTAAATGAGAAAAAAATCTTAAATTTTTTACAAAAAGAATCCTTTTTATCGAAATGATATGCATTTGGAATTTGACAATTAATGTACCAGAACAATAAACTCTCTTATTGGTTTTTCCTTTACCAGATTCCACAATTGTCAGAGATGGTCAAACAAAGACTGAAAGCGCTTAGTTTTACAAATTTCTCAATAGTGGAAGGTGAGTCATTATACTGTATATTCATAATAAATAGAACTTGTGACCATAGTTCTGAAAGATCACTTAAAAATATTAAGTTTCTTGATATGTGTTGATTTAATTTTTCAGATGCTCTTGTGGATTCAAAAGCTTGTCTTTCTAGTAGCATTCCCACTCTCAACACTCGTATGACACAACACCTCACAGAACGATGCTGCCGCTTTTTGAAAAGTGCCTCTGAGGTTCCTCGGCTCTATCGCAGAACAAACAAGGTCAGGATTCTGAATATCTGACATTGATGCACACAATTCTGGCTGCTGTGTTGTAGATCATCAATGATCAAAAGAAGATGTGCTTGTCAGTTTGGTTATTTATAATAAGAAATTTTGTTATCCATGCAGGACCTGCCTGTTCGAGCATCTGCATACATGGACAATGCCTTGCGTCCCTTGCACCAGGTACTGACTGACTCAACAGGACTGGTTAGTCCCTCCACAGCTCACGAGTGGTTAAGAGTTACGCTGTGTGACTGTACACAGAGGTAAGATAAGTAAACCCCATAACAGTGATGCATGCATCCTCCTTAAAGGCTTACATTTACATGTAATTTTTCAGGTATTATGAGACCATCTCAGAGGTACTGAGCTCAGTGAAAAAGATGGAGGAGAGCTTGAAACGTCTAAAGCAGGCCAGGAAAGGCCCAAGTGCAACTGCAACAACAGGAGCCAATGGTGGGCCCACAGACGACAGCAAGATCCGGCTTCAGCTGGCACTGGATGTTCAATACCTTGGGGAACAGGTAAACGCACAAAATATGAAACATACAAACATTATTATTTTTGTTTTCCTGCACCATGTGTCTTATGTTTAATGTCCTGCTTTAATGCACAACTCTTTTTATGTGTCAGATCGAAAAGATGGGTCTACAGTCAAGTGACATCACAATGTTTTCTGCTCTCCACGAGCTGGTCAAAGAAGCCAAAGAGCTCGCTGAACATAGCTAGTAGTCAGGTACCTGGGCCTGCTCTATCATTAACACTATGGCAACTTGACAAATGGCATTTGGTTTTATTTTTTTATTTTTAAAATCAGATCAGACTTTCCTATTTTTTCATTAGTTCCACAGCTGCCCGCTTCTTACAATCCTTTTTTTTTTTTACATAATTTATGTAATATTTATTTTCTGATTTTGTCTGGGCAAAATCTGTGCTGTTAAAATGGAAAACACAGCTTATGCAGCCTTTAGTGCCTGATTCTTGATTGTTGTTGTTTCCAGACTTGTTAATTGTTATGGGATCATTGTACAAAAAATTAATAACTATTCCATTTTGTTAAAAAGGGCAAGACTGATGCTATAGTAGATTATTGTAAACAACAGGTTAGGTTCACGTTGTTTTTTTTTATGGCATGGTGAAGGATTTATTTAAACAAATGAGACATATTGTAAGAAAATGTGTGTTGAAAATATATATATATATATATATATATATATATATCAATTTTGTTTATTGAAATATTTTACACTGATTATGCCATAAAATGTTGATTACCATTTCAGAATGTTGTGGTGTTTGCGATGCTGTATTGAATGTGCATACAAAGATAAGGAATTTCTGCCAATTCAAAATTTTCACAAGTTTATTTCTAGAAATCCCACATAATCAAGAACAGACACTTACTTAATGTAAGTACTAGTACAAAACTATAATCACAGTATCAGAACACTGCTGTCATACATAATATACAAACCACTTATATTTAGTGATATTTATAAATACTGACGAGGTTACAAGTTCTCATCCTTCACATTTTAAGAATATAACTGTGGTCTAGTACATGTAAGAATAGTGCTATAAATCCTATTTTAGAGGGCAGGATTAGTAACCTTGCCCAGCATCAATATAGCATCAGACTCTATCTCGATGACTGAGAAGAAGAAAGGCCGGTTAATGGACAGTTTTAGAGGGATGCCACCTTCCTGGGTCTTGGCTTGAACTTCAGCTCCTTCTTCTGACATCGCAAACGTCACCTTGATGATTGCCTGACACACATAATAAGTAAATTACATTCACAATTCCAATTACATTCTTGTACACACATGCATGACATGCTCCTTACCTTATCAACGGTGAAGTGTTTGGTGCTGCTGAGTTGGTTGAACTCTGCCTCAGCACCAAAGAGTCTGGGCTCAATCTCTGAACTCATGGTGGTCAGAAGCTCACGCAAATTACTCACAGCAGACATGGAGAACTTTGGCAGTGACAACTCTAGAAGACTGAATGGGAAAGAAAACGTAAAAGTCTGTTATAGTTACATACACTAATAAAGTTGTAAAAGGTAAGGTGGACTGTTTTATGTTGAATATCAAAAATGTAATTACAAGGTGTAGAATTTGCTCACCCTTCTTGCAGGTTTTCTTTCCAGAAAGATATAACAGTAAGCAACTTGGGCTCGATTTCTCTCAGACTAGTGCCTTCATGGGGCAGTACCAGTAACATGTAGGATCGCTTACTCAGAGACAGTTTGACCACTGTGCAGCGCCGAACCTGAAGGGTGCTTTATGTGAGTTAAGATTTCAAAGTCTTACTTTGATAGTTGTTGAACTTTTACCTTATCATTTAGGTAGTGGTAGGGACCGGTGTGTGTCATCAGCGGAACCATGACAGTGGTTGTCTCGTCCACATAAAACTCTTGCTGTGAGTTTTTTTCAGGCTGAAAGACTGTTTTCCAGTTACCTGGAAAGAATTTTTCAAAAATGCATTTAAAGGATGTGTTGAATTTACCCATTTAGAATAAGAAGTGTTTTTTTTTTTTTTTTACTGCAAATTTTAAATAATCAGTAACAGACAGATTCAACATTAAGGTTCTGAGCCTGACTAGCCAGCCTGATGGTGGCTAATCAAGTCTTTGAATGTTTCAGTGTAAATGATCATGGACCACAGGTCTTTAGTGTGTTTTAATATGTAACCCTTGATGAAAAAAGTTCATGCAATTTAAAGTAGCCTCTAAATGATACATTTAAAATCTCTTGACTTACCTTGGAAATTGAAGAAGCTGAGAAACAGCAGATTGCTGCTTGTGTTTACTTCAGTGAAGATGCTTTTTATTTTGCCCCCTGATGTCTTTTCTATAAAGCTATTGATTTGCTGCTCTGCCTCCTGTGTGTTGGAGAAGTCCAGACTCCGGATGAAAGAGGAGTCGGAGAAGTCCTGTGTCCCGTGGACAAAGTTTGTGGACAGCTGCGTGTGCGTCGGAGTAAACGCCCACACCTGTGTGCTGATCTCGTCCTTTGGCCCATCGTCCACCAGAGATTTGATGCTCTGCAGAGTCCTCAACACTTTGTGTCCATCCACAAAAGACACACAGTCCTCACGGTCAGTGCCACTGATCAGCCCCAGGAAGTTCTGAGAGACAAAAGAACCAATAGGGTTTGCTACATAGTATAATATATAATACATTATTATTACTACTAAATATCTAGGATACATAAATGTGCTTTTACCACAGCTACTGCAGTAACGTTTGTACTGAAGTAGAGTGCAGTCCTTAGTACCTTACTAAAGTTATTTGTTTTTCAAAACAATACAAAAACAATAGCATGTTTCAGAAAATAAAATATAGAATATTGATCTTTCTGTTAGTCAGATCAACTATTAATCATTCAATTTAGTAACACTAACAAAGCACACTAAAGACCTGGTATGCGCTGGCTGTTTTCTTGGATGCTCCAAGATAAAATGTGACTAGGGAGCCGAAAGCGTTGACTGGAGATAAGAGCGTGTTGCTGCTCTGTTGTCTGGCACTAAGCGCCATGTACATCCTCAGGCCCAGAGGGTTCAGCTGCTGTGCTAAAACAGTCGTCCTCTCTCTGATGTTCTGTCTCTGAGTGTCCACTCGGGACATGTCCCTTGTGTCCAGGGTCAGGATGTTCAGATCAAGGGGCGCCACGGTGATGGTCTCAAAGGGCTTGGGTTGGGTTGACAGAGTCTCACAGCTGACATTTTCAAGAGCAAACAGTGAGAAAGGATGAACGTAGACTCGGTTTGCTCTGCTCCCAGCAAAGATACAAGAGCAGAGGAGGATGAGGGTATATCTCTTCATTTTAACAATTGTGAGCTTCTGTGGAGAGGAAAAAGAGCTTTTAAAGAAGCAGTTTGTGATGTGTTTTCTACTGGTGCAATCTAAATAGTGTGTCGTTGATAAATTGACTTGTCTTTGTGCAGCTTTCATTTTGCAGGTCAGTGAATGTGAGCAGGCAGTAGCCTTAGCAACAGAGGTCACAGAGCTAATGAGAAGTATGTGAAGGCATCTGCTGGACTGGTGGGATTACTTTTCATTGAAGTTAGTCCCCTATGGACTAAATCTAATAAGGTAGTCTAAGTAAAAATCAAAGAAATATTATTTTGACTTTAACATTCTTGCAATCAATCAACAAAGAGCTGTCCTGATGACATTGTTACGTAAAATAATTTATCTTGTGAGTTGAACGAACAGTGGTGGACTACTGGACTTTTGGAAGACATGAGCAAACATGTGATTTTCCTGCATTTTGGCAGGAGCACAGGACATGGCCTTGGTGCCTGATCAATAAAACACGTATGCATTTGAACAATTGTACTATAACCATACTTCTAAATATATTAGACTCTTAAGTCTCATTGGTAACTTTGTTATCATTCCAGTGATAGTAGAAATGGTACAAATTTAAAATAGATAAAACATAAAATTCAATACGTATTTTCAGTGCTTATAGTACAGAATACAGAATACATGAATGTACCCAACTTAAAAAGTAAAGATGGATATCCAAATGGTCTAATATATCTTATCTCACAGGTCGACTATTTTACATATTTAAAATCAAAGTTTGCTCTTACCTTGTGATGCTGGCTAATTCCTCAGTGCTGAATGAGCAATGACTGGCCTGAACTCACTTTTAAAGCTCTCCTTTGCTGTTACTTATTAACCTAAAATCTGGTTTGGGGCTGGTGCTGTCATAGGGTGCTTTGTACTCCCCAACTTCCAATCAATGCATCTGGGTGAAAGCTTAAAGAGAGAACACTCAATAGCTGTTCCCTTGTTGACGTGAAGGCCGTGGTGGTGGTGGTGACCCAATGGCTCCTTGAAAAATGTGTGGGAGAGGAGTGACTCATGCCAGCTGATTGATTGTGTGTGTTCTTTGAAATTTTGCTCAATCTTAGTAGGAAATTTACTTGACCAGGTCAATTTGCATCAAACATAAGATTGTAGCCTGTATATAGTATTATTCCAAAAGTGAAAAAATAACATAACTAAGGTGTAGGGTGGTCAAAAATAAAATACACAGATACAGTTGGTTAAAATAATATTACTCAAAAAGTACCAGTTAAAGTATCTGACAGAGTAACATTTGTATAATGTTTCTAGATTTCTGTATATAGCTCACCAGTAGAAAATATCAGGTTCAACATTTATGGATTTACCTTTTTAGATATTTCATAAGTAAATGCAATGTTGTGAATGAAGAAATTTGGCTCTTGCAAAACCTTGTTTAGGTTTGATCTTTACTCAGTGTTATAGTACGCTGATTTTAATACCTGAAAAAGCATGACATGTTTTCTTTTTCTGAGAAGTTATAGGCAACATTAACCTCCCTGTGAGTTACTTCAATGTAACTTGTTCTATGCTGTCCATCAAGTTAGATCCTGTGGTGACCCCAAACAGGAAAAAAACTAAGAAAACACGATGCCAGGAACAAGTATATGTATTTAGCTTTGTCACTCACCTTGACACATGACTGTACGCTGGGCAATAAGGACATCCTGCTTGTTCTGAGACCAGAGCAAACAAGTCAGATGTGTCCCACAGTCTACATTTATTTACATAGTTTTGTTTACTTAAACATAATCAAACTGTGCTTTTTTGCACCTAACCCCACACAGATCTTCTCAGCTTTATGGCCACTATAACCACAAGTATGTGGCAGTGCCAGTGCAGAATTCTGATAAATGAAGTGGCGTATGATGCGAAGGTCATCCAGTGTAAACTTATGTCACAGTGAACATTAAAGTTTCACTGTGTAACACTCTAAGGTGGAGGGTTCGCTACTTGTTTGTCTCCATAGAGATGCTATTGATTTGCATGGAATGTTCCACAGTAGGGCATTAAACATCCTTGCATTTCTTCAATTACAGATGTTTTATAGCTGAACAATACCTTAAAAAGCACAGATTTTTACTATGTGCTTCTTCATAGATCTGACCATTAACCTGTTTCCATTTTGATTACCAAGTTTGTTTGTTTTTTTCCATACTATGGAATAATCCAGGGAAAACAGTAACATCCTCATAGAGACAGGCAGGTGACGGCCTCTCCACCAAAAAAGTTACACAATGCACCTTTAAGGAATCTGTTAAAATTATATAAATTGCGGCTATAGAATGTGATTATATTATATTATGAGTTCTAATTTAACTATAAATAAAAGCAATCATACTTTATTATTAATGAATTTGGTTGTTTAAATATAAAATATATATTAATTATATCAAATATTGAATATTCATTAAAAGAAACTGGGGACATTCATGTTTGAATGAAAAATAAATTGGTCACAGAGTATTTGTTTGAAGATTTAATGTATGCTTATTTATATATTATTAGACAGGCATGGGGTCCATGTCCATAAACATGAATTAATCTAAAGTTGTAAACAAGCCAAATTACAGCAGAGTAATCCATCAATTTTATATAATCTCACCTAAACCATTCCACACCTTTCTCTGCAAACAGTTTTAGCACCACCAAATGTGTGTTTCTCACGGCCATCTTCTTTTATTTAACTTATATGGTTTTCTTAATTATGCTGTAAAGGTGTGAACGGAACAGTATATAAACCGTCTCATTTTGCAATGGTGACAAGTTGAGGAGAAAGAGGCTCCATCATGTTGACTCTCGTGCTGCTCTGTGCTGTGATAACCTTCTGCAGGGTACAAGGTAAGATACTGTATCTGTTGCTTTAATTATTTCTAGTTTTAGGGTACAATTGTGATCCACCTAATGACATGTTTTGATTTTTTTTTTTATATATATTTCCAGGCTGGGGAACAACAGGTAAAACAATGTCACTTTTTCTTGTATTCATATTTTGATCTTGGTCTAATTACTACTGTAGACAAAAATCCGGGCTGGGCCTGGTTAGTACCTGGATGAGAGACTGCTGGGAAAATCAGGTGCCACAGTGGGACACCAGTGGCAAAAAACTGTTGTTGTGTCCTTAGGCAAGACACTTCCAGATTGCCTAGTATGAAAGTGGTGTGAGTGTGAGTGTTGGCGGTGGTTGGAGGGACCGATGGTGCAGATTGGCAGCCTCGCTTCTGTCAGTTTGCCCCAGGGCAGCTGTGGCAGATTATTATGAATAATTCACCAAAGTTTAAAGAGACTTTGAGTGTCTGGAAAAGTGTTATATAAGACTAATGCTTTATTAGACAGATTAATATTCATTGCATCAAACTTTTTTGGCACCCTCTCCCTCAGAGCAGCCTTCATGTCGTTACAACTGTGGCTACAACCTGGGAACCTGCTCCTGCACGAGCTCCTGCACATACTATGGCAGTTGTTGCTCTGACTATCAATGTAAGTGTGTCAAACTGAGAAGTGCTGTGTTTATCATATGTATATGAAGACAAATATGGAACAGACAGTATAACCATTCTTTATTTATGTAGCTTACTGTGAAAGAACAACTGAACCTCCCACTGAAGGTATTCAACTTTATTAAGGAAAAGCAATGTTGTAGTAAAAAAAAAATTGACCTAATGTGAATATAACTTTCTGTGGTTCTTTTTCCCTCAACAGTGTCCACACAAGGTATAAAGCAAGAAAAACATAATATAATAAAGATATTTCATATTCATACTTAAAAATGAGGTTACTTTATGTGGCGTGTCTCAGGTCGTTCATGTCGTTATAACTGTGGAGTACACTTGGGAAGTTGCTCCTGCAGCTACTCTTGTCAATACTATGGCAACTGTTGCTATGACTACTACTGTAAGTGTGGTCTATTGGCCCTGTTGATATCACTGTAAGAAAAAGGACATTAAATTAATAAATGTTATATTTTCCTTAGCTTACTGCGGAACGCAAACAACGACAACTACAGCTACAACTACATCAACGCGTATAACTCATTCAGGTATGACCTAAACCTTAACTTAATTTTACCTGTGTGGAAATGAATGTCAGTGGCCCTTCAGTCAGGCCACTGAACTTCAGCCTTATTCCTGTCTTTACAACTGTGTGGGTATCACCTGCCAAGTTGCTCCTGCAGCAGCTCTTGTCAATACTATGGAGGCTGTTGCCCCAACTTCTACTGTAAGCCACTACTATAGCAAATGCATTGTTTTTAAAAAGGTCCACTTTAACCTTATAACAGTTTTACCGTATATACATATCATTTAGCTTACTGTTAGAGTACAACCACCACCATCTAAGCCACAGATACAGAATACTCTAAAAATATACAAAAAATCACAAAATGGCCTCACAACATTCCTGACATTTTTATGTTTCTCAGAACACCGTTCATGTCGCTACAACTGTGGACACTACATGGGGAGCTGCTCCTGCAGCAGCTCTTGTCAATACTATGGCAACTGTTGTAATGATTACTATGGTAAGTCCATGACAACCTTTAATATCTTTTTTATTTATAAATGCTGGTATAAAGTATTATTGTTTTTTTCCTCATACAATAGATTACTGCTCACATACTACAATGAGACCTTCACCTACAGGTAAAATTTTAAATGAGTTTAAATAGGCTATGTTAAGGAAATAGTGATTCACTTTACTAACCTATAGCTCCTCCTTAAAGAGGTTAAACTATTCCATTAGTGTAAACTTTACACATCCCACTGTGACTTTCCATTGTCCTTCTTTTAGAAACTCTTCCTTCATGTCGCTACAACTGTGGCTCTTATTTTGGAAGCTGCTCTTGCTCTAGCTCTTGTCGATACTATGGAAACTGTTGCCCTGACTTCTACTGTAAGCCGCAACTAACAACAGTTTTATTAAAATAATAAAACAGTCCTTTTTAACTTTATAATTTAACTGAATTGCACATCCTTATCATTTAGCTTACTGTGACAGTGGAACTACACCTCCACCCCCCAGCCAAACCACAGGTACAGAATATACTTAGAATATATTAATAATGTCAAAAAGGCACCACAACATTCCTGATATTCTTCTTTGTGTTTCTCAGAACAACCTTCATGCCGCTACAACTGTGGGCACCACATGGGGAGCTGCTCCTGCAGCAGCTCTTGTGAATACTATGGCAACTGTTGCCACGATTACTACTGTGAGTGTGTCACAAGAAAATGTTTATTAAGATGGAGGATTTTTTTTCAGATGTATGAATTCTTCACAAATGACAAAACAAACAAATGCATGTAATAATTCTTCTCTGTTATTCAGCTTTCTGCTATAACCATACCACCAGCAGCCCAGGTATTAAATTAGCCTGTTAAACAAATACATTTACATCTTTAGAGTGTATTGATTCTAGATGCTCTTTACTACTAGGAGCAAGCTGTGGAGGCTCTCTGTTTGGCTCAGGCTCCTTCTCCAGCCCTAATTACCCTTACCACTATCCAGACAACTCCAACTGTGTCTGGCAGATCAGGGCATCATCTGACCAGAACATCTATCTCACATTCACATACCTGGAGTAAGTTCTCCAGTCACTTCAAACTGAACAACCATATATTACTTTATCCTCTGTGACTTTTTCATATCTCAACAGACTGGAAAACTGCTGTGGTTGTGACTATATTAATGTCTACGATGGACCATCTGTAGGGTCTAAGCTCTTGGGAAAAGTTTGTAATAGTAACAGTAACAGTAGCCAGAGTTCTTTCCACTCCTCCTCCAACTATTTGACTGTGCACTTCCGCACTGACAGCTCGGTGGTAGGACATGGATTTAATGCAGAGTTTACAAGCTCCCTATCATCTGGCCTAGGTACCAATGAAAACAATTAAATAAGACTGTTTCAAGGTGCATTGTGTAACTTTTCTGGTAGAGGGCCCGTCACTTGCTTGTTTCTATGGCTCACTGCTCTGCTTCAAATGTTCCACATTAAACAGCTCTTTCTTTTACATTTATTCAATTAAAGGTGGTTTTATAGCTCAAAAATGCCTAGAAAAACTAGCTTTCTGACTGTAAGCGGAGATGCCTGTACAAAGATCTGGCTTGTTACTTGGCCTACATGAAGATAGACAGGTTTAATACCATACTGTGAAACATTCCAGAAAATAATAACATCTCCATGGAGTAACACCTCCACCAGCAAAGTTACACAATACATCTTTAAATGTATCCAGTATTACAATATGATGGTTCTTCTACAGGTCGAGTGGACTGCTCCTCAGACAACATGAACATTGTGATTTCCAGGAGCTACCTTAACTCAGTTGGTGTCGATGGCTACAATCTGTTTTTAAACGACCAGTACTGCAGACCTGAAATCTCCTATTACAATGTGGTCTTCAAATTTCCCATTAACACATGTGGTACTGTCCGGCAGGTAATACACTCAATTGATATTTTAATATTCATGGTTTAATTCTTGTTGGTAATTAATAATAGGAGACATCTCATCATTCTAGTTTAATTTTTTTTTATTATTATTTTAAGCTGGAGAACAGATAATACTAATATGATGTAATTGGCTGTTTAACTGTCAGATTGCAGATTTGTTGACTTGATTTAATAAAATAAGCGCAGAAATCTGTAATTTCTGTGCTTTTCCACATGAAACAAAAATGGGCACAAGTCACATAAATAAACAAAAGCAGTTTTTTTCACAATAACTTCTAAAAGTGGTGTCATTATCTAACCTCAAAAAAAAACACAAAAAAAAAACACAAATTTTGAGCCAGTAAGGTTAAACATTTGGAGAAGATTTTTTTTTTCCCATTCAAAAGATATAATATTTTAAATTGATGATCACTATAGCGATGGCCCTAGTTTCACATCATTCTGAAACCCACATATAAGTCCTAACTCTCCATCTGTAATTCAAAGGTGCATTGTGTAACTTTTCTATTGCAGGGTTTGTCAACTGCTTTTCTTCTTGGAGATGTTATTGCTTTGTCTGGAATGTTTTACAGTGCAGTATTAAACCTTTCAGTCATTATGAAGGCCAAACCAGACCAAGTTACAGGTCTGTGGAGAGGGAAACCCAGTCACAGATTGTCAAACTGGGTGTCTTTCTAGGTATTTTGAGCTATAAAACCACCTGTAATTAATAAATCAAGAATACACTGAAAACAGAGCATGTCATACTGTAGAAGATTCCAGGGAGAGCAATGACATATCTATTGAAACAAGCACCTGACAGACCCCCAAACGAAAAGTTAATCAAACTCTAAAATGGGAATGCAACTACTGGACTTTTTTTTTTTCAGTTTGACCATGGCCAAATCGTGTACACCAATGCCCTCCGTGCCTTTTCCTCTGACTATGGGGAGATCACTCGTCAGTCTCTGTTCAGACTGAATGTGAGCTGCCGAATGGAGCAGGACTCTGTTTCTCAGATCATTTATGAAGTCAAACACAATGACAATGTTAGCATCTCTGGGTCTGGTAGATTCAATACATCAATGGCCTTCTACACATCTAGCAACTTCTACTACCAGGTACAAATTAGAAGGGATATATAATAGTAGCCTTTTCGATCCAAAATACTAACTAATTGCTATTCTGTTAGGTTACCCAAGTGCCATATGAGGTGAAGCTCAACCAATATCTGTATGTCCAAGTGAGCATGAGGCGTGGAGACAGCTCCTTGGTAGTGTTTCTGGATACTTGTGTGGCCTCTCCCTCACCCCATGATTTCCACAACAGATCCTATGACTTGATTCGCAATGGGTAAGGAAATAAGAAATATTGCTATTAATTCAATTCATATGGATGGTGGCAAAAATAAATAAATAAATGGAAGATTATTGCAGTAGGGTGTGAATAATTGTTGATTGTAGTGCTTCAGGCTTACAAACCATTTTTATAATTGTAAATGCAGAATAGCCTAAATAAGTAACATAATATAACTCATAATGTTAATTAAAACAGTATAATTAAGTTTGAAAAAGTATTGAAATTACATAGTGCGATGTTAATGGTAGTTAGAGTATGTATTATATAAAATTTTAAATAGGCTAATAGACACAAACTAAACAAACTCTTGATCTATAGATGCCGAGTTGACTCCACCTTCTACTCATACTCCTCTGGCACCAGGCCCTATGCACAATTCAGATTTAGTGCCTTCCAGTTCCTGCGTGCCACTGACCACGTGTACCTTCAGTGTACAGTGTTCATCTGTCCAGCCTCTGACTACAACTCCCGCTGTCGCCGAGGCTGCAACCGAAGAGTGGCCCGAGAGGTGGGCTCTGAGCATGACACTGAAACAGTGGTGCTGGGGCCCATTCAGCTTCAAAGTAAGCATGTTTTATATGCATTTATGTTCTTAATACTGAAATTAATTTAAAGTTTCAACTTACTTGGGTTACTGTTTCAGAGTCAAAGAAATTGGCAAAGGCGACTCAGCAGAGGACCAAGGGTTAACTTGAGACTCAGAAGCACAAACCAGTTCAATCATTTACATTAATCATCACTACTCCTAAAATATAATTTATACCTGATTAAAAGCATTATGAAAAGACAAAATGTGTGATACTTCATTTCATTAGTTGGACTAAAATTTAACTTTTTTTTTTATTCAATATTCCAGATTCAGGAGTTCATAGAGCATACATTACATACATTAACTTTGTTGTTAATGTTCCAGTTTGTCTAGATGCAATGGTGTTATCAACATTCTTTTTTAAATTTGTGTAATCCCTCTATTATGTTGTGAATGCATAAAAAAAAACAACAACAACTGCAACAATGGATTAAAAACACTTTACTTATAAATTAGGTTTGTCAGTCCCACAATAAAATGATTTTTATTCCCAGAGGGATGAAGCATAGCCAAAAGGCATCCACATTCAGTTTTATCTAGTCGACTACAACACAATTTGCAAACCAAGTAAGGCAGTCTGTATGGGATGTCCCCTATCATTGGTAGGCATTGACGAGTATCTGGTCCTTTTAGTATAGGGATTCTTAACCTTCTGACTGCTGGGGCCCAACTTTTCCAGTACAAAATAACCTGGGAACTAGGGGTGACAAATAGTCTAAAAATGTATCACAATTTTCATAGTCTGACTCTGATCACAATTTAATTGTCACTCACCAATCAAAATATCACCAAAATTGCAATGTTACTGGGATCAGATCACAAAGTTTTAATTGCCATACTGCTCAGTCCTACTGTGGACCACTCACATGACTTTATAGTTACATTACACACACAGCCCTGCCATGGGCCCCTATGGTTAAGAATCAGTGCTTTAGTATGTTGTTAAATGCACACAACAGTTTTAAAGACACTCTGTGAATTAGAAATCTCACTGCAACATGTTTTGACACATAACAACAATCAAAACAATACAATACTGAGTAAATATTCAGAAAAGTCCTGGGCTCCACAAGTTTTGATGGGAGTGATAATGACAAAGGATAAAATGTGGCATCCCTGACGCTACGTGGCAATTCTGAAGGTGAAACGCAATACATGATGATTCTGTCCTAGCTACTGGATACTAAATAATGACATACAATGTCATATCGGTAAAAGAGGTAATGCAACATAATGATATCTGAAATAAAAATAGTCCTCTGAAAGTAAGGAAATATGTTGTGACAGTAGTTCAAAGTAAGCAGCATCATAGCACAAAATATTGGCAAAAAACTATAGGACAGATAATTGCCATCCCAAAATAACCTTATCAAAATTTTAAAAAAAGTTATATTAACTATTAACAAACGATGTTCTATTCAGGCACTGTAACAAAAACTTTTTTTTTTTTCAGCCATGTAGGTGAAGACTATAGAGTATCTTCTCAACTTCAACCACAGCTCAATTAAAAATCTAATTAGAACAGGCTCTCTCAATCTTCATTCATTTCAGGTATTATATGACTACTATTCTAATGATGTTTACAATTAATTTGGGTATGAATTATGGAATGCAGCCCAGTTTTTTTTCTACTGCAGAAAGATAAGAGGAATGCTTTCCAATGATTAATAAAAAGGTCTTAAACACCCCAAAGTAATTTCTCAACTCAGAACACTGTTCCTTCTTAAAAAGGTGCATTACAAAGAATTTAGAAGATTAAAACCTATCTCAGTTTTCACTTTACACTATAACTAGGTTAGAGACTAAAATGTGTAAATGTGAGAAAGTTAATCATGATACATTTAAATGTAAGTTTAAATCTATAATTCTCTGCTAACAGAGCTAACATGTTGCACCTTTAATGAAACACTTCAATGGTGATTGTTAAATACACAAAAGAAAACAAGAAAGTTTTCCTGTGAAAGCACAACGTGAAAAAGCTAAGCTACATTGAGGCCGAGTATAGGACCAATAAATAAAAAGACTATAAAATTGAATAAACAACTGAGGAGTCTGAAATGTTTCTACTGCTTGTGCTGCCCTCGGGCAAAGTGGCAGGCAAAGTCGTACTTGCTCTTGCACTTATAGCCACAGATGTTACACTGGAAAGGGTTCTCGTAGCCATGACAGCCCATGTGGATGGTGTAAAGGATGTTATCAGGAAAGTAGATGTCACAGTGCTGGCAGTGATGCAATGCATGGGGGTCCTGCAGGGGAGCAGACAAACCAGGAGCTGGAGTGCTGGGTTGGCTGTTGGAGATGCTTGGAGTACTGTTGTGCCCGCTGTGCTCACTACAAGGCACTCCACCTGGACTGCAGTTGCTGTGAGGAGGGGCGCGGGGCTCTGGAGTGATTGGAGAAGAGGAGGAGGCATGTGCCATGCTTGCACTGACCGCCACAGGAGCTGTAGCAGGATGAGGCTGCTGGATGAGGAAAGGTTTCTCATCCACAACAGATTCTGCTCCTGGAGACATGGGCCCCTGTGTCTGCACCTGGGCCTCTGAAGGGAGGCTGGCCAGTTGGCCTGCCAAAGTTGACAACTGGTTCAGTGGATTTTCCATGACCATATCATGGTGATGGTGATTCTGGTTCACAGACAGCCCTTCTTCACCTGGACGACTCTGGTTATCATATGCCTCCTGCCGTAGATGTGGCAGCTCATGTGAATAGTCACTAACATTGTCAGCTTTATGTACAACCATCGAGGGAGGGCTGAAGTTGATAAGCAGTCGACGACCGTAGCCAAGTGAACTAGCTTTCTTTTGTAGAACACTCAGCATCTTCTTGTGAGAAAGTGAGCGGGCTCCTTTCATTGGCAGAAGTTTGTGTCGTCTGCGTCGATGATGAGACAAGTTACTGCGGTCACTACAGCGGAAGGAGCAGAGCTCACACTTGTAGGGCTTCTCTCCTGTGTGGGACCTCATGTGGGCTTCTAAATGTCGCTCATACGCTGAGGCAAAGGGGCACAAGTGGCAACGGTGAGGCTTCTCTCCTGTTTAAACAAAACTAAGGTTCAGACTCATATACATAGTTATTGCTCTAGCAAAACCTTTCAGTAAACACACCTGTATGGATTCGGATGTGCTCAATTAGACGTGCAGTGCCTCTTGTGGCGTAGTTACAGTAGCGGCACTTCAGTTTGCCATCGTAGGTCCTCTCAAAACCATCAACCAAGATCCCTGAGCTGTCCTCTAATGACATTTCCACAGAGGCATGTTCTAAGCCATTCTGGGTGCAGTCTGAAGAGAATAACAAACACTTCATAAATAATTTGAAAACTTCTGGTAACTAAGCTACTCTAATGATTTTCACATTAATTGACATGCTCTGCTGCCAAATAGACTTAAGAAATAATAAAACAAAAATTTACCAGCAGGTAGTTCTTCTTCCTCTTTAACGCCACTCACGGAGCCTGAGATCATGTTGACGTGTTGAGTCTGTTGGCTGAGGTACTCTTGGAAATCTCTCACGAAGTCCAGAGTGTCTGGCTTTTCCTCCCCCATGGATGCAGACTGGTGCAAACTAAAACGAGTGACATTCCTTAAAGCTAGGGCTGGTTCGATACATTTTATAAACACACAACATAAATAAAAAAGAAGCCGCAAAAACTGTAATGGTATAAAGTTATACAGAATCATCAGGTGCTGGCAAGCCATATTTGTACTCACCTCTTTAAATGTTGAACAGGTAAAACTTGCGGTGCTGTATGTTTATATGTTGTACAGGCACATTGATGATAATCCACAATATTAGAGAAACAGGAAAACAACGCAATAAAATGTCTTTTGACTGGCTCAGTCTTACGCACCTCTTGTCTTTGACATTTTGTTACTAACGCTATCGAAGCTAAGCTAGAGCTAATGCTAGCTTACGTGGACAAAGCATCTTTAAAATCTATACATAGCACTGGGAAGCCAAGGCAATATTATACCATTTACCATCAAACAAACGAAAAAAAAAAGAAATTCCCTTGACGTTTTAAAACAATTAATCAAAAGAAAAAAAACCCAAATCCTGTTTTATTTAGGGTTAAAGTTCGCCTGGTTGCATCGGCACAAACGGTCCCCCTCTTACTTTGGTTCCTACTACGAACAAGTTCCTATATCAAAAGTCTCATGAAAATATCAAACATATAATACTAACAGACTTGGATAATAATAATAATAATAATAATAATAATAATAATAATAATAATAATAATAATAATAATAATAATAATAATAATAATAATAATAGTTGTTGTTGTTGTTGTTGTTGTTGTATTCACCTGATAATGCATCTTTCTGTCTCAGACACACTTTACCTCTCCCATTCCTCTTAATGGTCAGTCTCCATTATGCTCTAAGTGACATATTGTGACAGGGACAATTGGAGCACAAAGAAAAATTATCCTACCTTGTAGTACTGTGTAGTCTTACTGTAGCCATGGTTTACTGTTTTTGTTTTTCACAATTGCTACTGCAGTGCAAACTATGTTGATTCATGGAAGTGCACAGCTCCTTTCTCAGCACCTGCAATGTAAATCTTAAATTTTTAACACTTGCTACTAATGATGTTAACTGATAGCTTCTACTAATATCTGTGACAAGCACTCTTGCAATTACATGTAAGTGGCAAATGAGGCACAACAATTGCATTACTTTCAAAAGCGATTGACTCATTCATGTTTTATTATAATCAATAATTTACAAGAAGGCACTTTGTGATATCACATCGCCCCATTTGTGTCAGAGTTGTAGGAAAACCACTGAGGAGAGGATGACAAATGGCCAGGTTGAGTGAGGCCCCCATATCTGTTTACCACATTACAACTAGTACCGTACCAGTGAACTCTTACTGTAATACAAGTGACCTATTGTATATGACACAGTAATACCAACTGTATAAAAAGGATGTGAGCAATAGTCCCTATACATTAAAGTTTATACTGTACTTGAATTAATGCTTCAACCCCAACTTCTTTTTTGCTTTGTCTGCTTAATGTACTTTGAGTGTTTAGAAACCGTTGTATAAATGAAATGCATTCATATTATTATTTTTTATTGTCAGGATATCTTAACTCAAATTAGGCAGATTTTCCTGTTTGTTCTTTTTTCATTTACCCATGCATACCCATAGTCAGACAATTGCAACAATATCCGTTGAAATGAGCATAATCTTGAGGGTGACACAAGAAAACATGCTACTTTTAAATTTGTGTGTTTTATTTATTTAGGCCATTTAATATTTATCTTTTTCGAACACTTTTATTAAAATAAGAATGACTATGATGATGTACACACTTCTAACACTAGATGGCGCCAACATACCACTGCTGAATCACGTAGCGCCTAAACGTTATTATTGAACTACTCCTTCCTACAAGATTCAAAGACAGGATGTCGCCCGTGTTTGCATTTTAGTTCGAAATGACCGCTGCTACACCCCACTACTAATTCTACTACTTCTGCTACTACTACTACTGCTGCTGCTACTGCAATTATTCACTACTGCTGCTGCTCCAGACAACAGTGTAAACTAGCCCTGTCCTGCCCACTGCTGTCCCGTGGGACCCCATGTAAGAGACATGACAGTCGACCTCATCATTTGAACCATGACCACCAGAGCAGCCAATTACACCACCTTCTAACAGCCTGTCCACACTAATGTTATTTTATTGCAATTTAATTATGCTCAGGTTTCCACTGGAGCCAGATCCTGTTGAATAATTTACCCCGAGTCACAATGATTTGTCACCAGTAAAAGACAAAGTGCACCTTTCCCTGCACTCCCATTCATTTGAGCAGTTACAGTGTAATTCTAATCAGATAAATCTTTAAGCAATAAATGTATATCTATTTGTCCTGTTTATTGCAATGCCTAATTTTGACATAAAGATTTATCTAATCTAAAATATGGGGGTTACAAATGGTCAAACTTAATTTTGAATTAAAGACTCGTGATATATTTAGCTGTTCTCTAAAGGGCAGTGTATTAATTAGACTTGAAGAATAGAGTAGAGAGGTTGGCATTTAGACCCATCATCAGAGTGCATTGATGTATAAAGAAAATAGTTCACTCTGCATTGTATTGAGCATAGATATAAATAAACAGGCTCTACCTCCTAAGGAGACTGTGGCCTTTTTAACCTTCTATACTGGTGGCATCAACTGTCCTGTACGGTGTGGTCTGCTGGAGCAGCAGCATCACAGAGAGGGAGAAACTGAACAAGATCAACAAGAAGTCCAGCTCCATCCTGGGCTGTCCTCTGGGCTCTGTGTGGAAGGTGGGAGACGGGGGTATCTGCCTAAAGAAGAGATTCTTCAGGTCTGTCCATCCTGCTGCTGTGAGCCTGTGCTAGCTCTAACGTTATCCATATGTAATCACACGCAATACTGCAAATCACCACCATGCCACAAACTGCAGATACCTAACCTGATATTTATATGTTGTTCGTGTCCATATTTTCTGTACACAACTATAAATAGTTTTGCAAACTTATACATGTTTTACTCTACTACTAAGTGAGTGATTCTTATTTTATTCCTATTCATTTAGTATTTTTTCTATGAAAACTTAATTTCATTTGATTTGGTTATGATTGGTATTTGGTGAATACAAAGTCTTGTAGTTGATAAGAAAATAGTGTTTTGAGAGAGCAGATTTATCTTGTTTAACTGTGCGTATAGGTTCATGGACAACACCTGTCTTGAAGAAGGTTGCAGTGTTATCCACTTGCTCCGGCTCACAGCTGAAAAGGGCCTGAATGAAAAGGTTCCCTTGTCCTCTTAAGCGCTTGATTTACTGCCTGTTTGTAGTTTAACACCACACAAGACAATTCATTTGCTCCTTCTTTGGGAAGGAAATGGGAATTTAATTTAAGGCAGATTTTAAGCACTTTTTAAAAGGCCCCGGTGTCATTTGTTGGCTGCATTAGAGATTACCCTTCTAAAAAGCCTTTTTAATCCCACACAAGTGCGGCCATAGTAACAGCAGCGGGCTCTTGGAAGGAGAAAGGTGAAGGGGGGCTTGGAGGAGATTTATTCTTCTTCTCCTGACAGTGTTTCTTTTGGAGTCTGTTGCTCCACGTGGTGTGCTGTGAAAAAAGACACTGAGAGGTGGAGGCGGGATAAAGGAGGTATATATTAAGCTTTTCTTTCCTCTTGCCACTTAATTTCCTTGCAGGCGCACCTTGTGCCAATGTAATGAATGTAATTGCTGCCTTTGATGAAAATGCTATTATCTGGATCACACTTTACATGGGCAAACAAGACTGGCCCTCCCTCTGTCCCCTCCTCCCATTTAACTTAGCAATGAGACCCCCCAATTATGCAGGGAACAAGTGCCTTTTCATAAAGCCAGCGTGTTGCTCTTGATTGGTGAGGCTTGGAGACGGCTCCACGCGGACAAAGGATAGATTAGACGTGATATAGGCACCACCAAAAACCCCATTTCCTTGATTAATTTCCTGCGTGCGTTGTTCAAAGAGCCCACTCTTTCTCCCTGGACTGAATCCTATCTCTCCCTTAAAGACAAACTTTCATCATTTGATAGATGTGGAAACTCAATGGACAGACAGACATTTTATTGACCTATGTTTGACCACAGCCTGAGCAGGAGGAGCGTGGGGAGGACAGTGTTATTTGTCATTTTAAAAAGCTCCAAATCTTTGTTGTTGAAAAGTACACCTGTCTTCAGATGGGATGTGCTCATTCATCACAGCAGCGCGTGCTTAACACCTATTTGATATTACTGATATGATGGGGCTTTATGAGGCGATGCACAATAAACCGCTGTCACCTCAGGAAGTCAGTGGGCTCTCCTGACTGCCTTATTACCGCATTATAGTGCCACTCAAATCCCAACACACACTGCCTGACCCGTTCTCAAATTCTGCCCCATAATGCACTGCGCTGAAATACTGTGGCCAATCGCGCCCTCTGTCACATGTGACAAATTATACTATTACTCTTCAAAGATTGTCACCCTTGAAATGTATTCATAGCCATTTCTTCTTTATTGGTGAGTGATTATTCCTCTAAGCAAGCAGGTCTATGGTGATAAATTGGTAATCAATTCATTTGACTAGAGTACTTTAAGAATGGCTGCCAGGGATCTGCTGCATTGGCCATTCACCTGCGCATACATATATCTTCAGCTTAGTCCTCATACTATTGGCCTGTGATAGATGCCTACTGTCTGTCCACCTGACTCTTACAGCTTTTAACAGGTTGCCATCCGGACCGGGTCGCCACCGAGAACGAATTGGACAATATTTTTGACTGAAGTGGCATTTTAGCAGTATTTATTTGACGGCGTGCCTACCAAAACCACGGGTCACAAATAAAGAAGATGGTATAATAGCTTTTGACTGGCCCGGCTAGCTTCCCCTGACTTGAAATGAAGTGTCCAGTTGTGAGTTATCGTGGCCAAACGTCATTTGTACAGCCTGAAAAGTGGGGGCATTTTTCTAGCTTGTCGTTATCTGGCTATAGCTCATTGTCCTGAATGATGCCTCCAAACCTACAGTTGGACTAATACGAGGATTTCAGCGGTGCGCAGTAGAGGCTAGCAAATGGATTAGACTGTCTATAGCAGATAATATAGTGCGTCCACAGAGGTATCCTTAACACTAGTGGGATCCTGTCACACACTGAGGGGCGGCTGTGTGTCACTGAGCTGTGCAGTCCACATCACAGCGACTGGTGTGTCTTTTAACTGTCAGCAGGGGAATGTACAGTATATCTGGGTGGTTAAAATTATTTAACCTGATTACTCATAATAAATCATTCATATATTATCCACTTTTGCAGAGTTTCTTTACAAAAACTATCATTCTGATGACAGTATCCCTCAAAATGAATGGGCCCATATTATGCTACTTTCTGATCTATGCTATAATGTTATTTTGTCATCACAAACATACCTAGAGTTGTGTTTTGTTTCATTCTGACATGTTTAATATACAAACCCTGCAAATAGAAAACACTCAACTTGTGATGTCATGTGGTAATACAGGAAGTGCTCCATTATGTTTTTCAAACTCCATACATCTTCACTAGAATCATTTGGATAATTTT